CCTACTCTTGTGTGGGAGTGTTTCAGCACGGGAAAGTTGAGATCATTGCTAATGACCAGGGAAACAGGACCACGCCCAGTTATGTGGCCTTTACTGACACAGAGAGGCTGATTGGAGATGCAGCCAAGAACCAGGTGGCCCTCAACCCCAACAACACCGTTTTTGGTGCGACTTTTGCTGCTTTTTAAAAAGAGAAAAAAAAAGTATGAATACTGACCTGAGTGGGGAGATAGAAACAAAGCTCACTGATGGTTTCTCTGCTGTTTCCTCAGATGCAAAGCGGCTTATTGGGCGTCGTTTTGACGACAGTGTTGTCCAATCAGACATGAAACACTGGCCCTTCACCATCATCAATGATAGCTCGAGGCCCAAAGTGAAAGTGGAGTACAAAGGGGAGACGAAGACCTTCTACCCCGAGGAGATCTCCTCCATGGTGCTGCTGAAGATGAAGGAGATTGCTGAGGCATACCTTGGCAAGGTACACAAGTCTACTCAAACTTTTAGCTTGCCGCTGTACAACCTTTGGCATATATTCATCATTTCTGAAGTGTTTGAGATGCGTTTTATATTGCAAAGGGATGAACCTTGCATGTTTTGAGTCAACATTCTTCCTTAATATCTCCAAGACAAAAAGGATGCTGTAAAAACATAATGACAATATTCATCTTAAGAGATTTACCTGATAAAATGTGCTTTTACACCTGTTTGAATTTGTTCAAACAGGACAATGGAAAACTGGAATAAAGAACAACTCAATTTACAAAATATTTCATTAAAATGTGAAAATATATCCTCTCTTTTTTTTTTTTTTTTTTTTTTTGTTGATTCAGACTATAACAAACGCCGTGGTGACTGTACCAGCCTACTTCAATGACTCTCAGCGTCAGGCCACCAAAGACGCTGGGACCATTTCTGGGCTCAATGTTCTGCGTATCATTAACGAGCCAACAGCTGCTGCCATTGCTTACGGTCTGGACAAAAAGGTAAAAATAAATAAAAAAAATTCTGAGCACTTCTTTGAGATTCACAGACATATTCTTTCTTTGACTTTTGACATTTTTTACCACACATTTTTTTACCTTAAAGGATTTAGATATCATTGAAATTGTTGCTTTTGTAAAAAGAGCAAAATTGAGTCCCAATTATAGTCATTCATCCTATGTTTTAAAGCTGTGGTAAGAAACTTTTATAAAAGAAAAAAATAATAATAATAAAAGGCTGTTTTTACATGTTTGCCTTAACTGTCACTATGTACTGACAGAATAATATGAGACAGATAATCTGTGAGAAATATCAAGCTTTTCTGGCTCCCCCCTGTGGTCCTATTACCACCTGCAGAAATATATTGCTCCTGGTCAGCAGCAACCAGTCAGATCAAAGTGCTCACCCCTGTCTCCCACACAGGGCATGTCAAGATTGCTGTTTTACTTAAGCCGTGGTAATTGTGCAGAAACAACTTATTGTTTTCTCCCAGGTTTGAAAAAAATCAGAATCTGGACAAATCACTACTACAGATTCACAGAATGATCTCCAACTTTCCGTTCATCAGCAAAATTATTGAAAAAGCTGCTTCTTTCAACAGTTAAATGTATTGTTTGTCACTGGTTTCTCAATTGCTGACTGAAAAACTTGGGGATGATCTCATCATCCCCTCTTTTTTTTATCCTGGATTCAAACCTCCCAACTGTATCAAAGATTGATAAAGTGTTACAAACATCAGAATAACAAATAAAAAAAAATGTCTCTTTTCATTTAAGGTCGGATGCGAGAAAAACGTCCTCATCTTCGACCTGGGCGGTGGCACTTTCGACGTCTCCATCCTGACCATCGAGGACGGCATCTTTGAGGTGAAGGCCACGGCGGGCGACACCCACCTGGGCGGCGAGGACTTCGACAACCGCATGGTGAACCACTTCATCTCCGAGTTCAAGCGCAAGTACAAAAAGGACATCAGCGACAACAAGAGGGCCGTGCGTCGCCTGCGCACGGCCTGCGAGCGGGCCAAGCGCACGCTGTCTTCCAGCACGCAGGCCAGCATCGAGATCGACTCCCTGTACGAGGGCATCGACTTCTACACGTCCATCACCAGGGCGCGCTTTGAGGAGCTGAACGCGGACCTGTTCCGCGGGACGCTGGAGCCCGTGGAGAAGTCTCTCCGGGACGCCAAGATGGACAAGGCTCAGATCCACGAGATCGTCTTGGTGGGAGGCTCAACCCGCATCCCAAAGATCCAGAAGCTCCTGCAGGACTTCTTTAACGGGAAGGAACTCAACAAGAGCATTAACCCTGACGAGGCGGTGGCGTACGGTGCAGGTAGGCTTACTACACACCTTTTAAACGACGCTGAAATTTCAAGACAAAACCTCTAAACGTTTGTTTCGCAGCTGTCCAGGCGGCCATCTTGAGCGGAGACAAATCCGAGAATGTTCAGGACCTGTTGCTGTTGGACGTCACGCCCTTGTCTCTGGGCATCGAGACGGCAGGTGGAGTCATGACTGTGCTGATCAAGAGGAACACCACCATCCCCACCAAGCAGACCCAGACCTTCACAACTTACTCTGACAACCAGCCTGGCGTGCTCATTCAGGTGAGGCAGCCGTCTGTTTACGTTCGTCTTCCAAAAGATGAAACGAGTGCCAGTTGAGTTGACCTTATCTGTTGCCTTCATAGGTGTTTGAGGGCGAAAGGGCCATGACCAAAGATAACAACCTGCTCGGGAAATTTGAGCTGACGGGTATACCACCAGCTCCTCGTGGGGTCCCTCAGATTGAGGTGACATTCGATATCGACGCCAACGGCATCATGAACGTCTCCGCCGTCGACAAGAGCACTGGGAAGGAGAATAAAATCACCATCACAAACGACAAAGGTAACAAAACGCTTTTAAATTTATTGAAAAGCTAACCCCAGCCGTCAGTTTTCATCATAGCTTTATATCATAACCCATTTTGATTCTCCCTTCCTTACTGTCCAAGGACGCTTGAGCAAAGAGGATATCGAGCGAATGGTTCATGAAGCGGAAACGTACAGGGCTGAAGACGACCTGCAGCGAGAAAAGGTGGCGGCCAAGAACAGCCTGGAGTCCTACACCTTCAACATGAGGTCCACCATAGAGGACGAGAAGCTGAAGGACAAGATCAGCGAGTTGGACAAGAAGAAGGTCCTGGACAAATGCAACGAGGTCATCGGCTGGCTCGACAAAAATCAGGTTTGAGTTTGAGAGAAGTAGTTTCAGAGTTTCCCCCAGTATATTATAGGCCCGGCAGCCTTAAATGTTCAACTAAATTTATGTCTGGAAATAAGAGGCTTAAAGCTGCAGTGGGAGTCTGTGTTTACTGGATCAATATCCAATTGGCCGACTGATCAACGTGAAAAAAACATTTTCTGGTCACTGCCCCGCTGGAATATTTCTCCATCTTACTGTCAAGTCTATTTTTAACCAATATTGATCACCAGCTTTATTCTCTTCCGATTCCTTGTTGCAAAACAGCCCGACTCGAATCCTCCATGACTCGTCCATATGTTTTTCTTCTGGTGATTATATCTATTTTCCCGTCATATTGTGATGAAAACAGCATTAGAAAAACAGCAAAAGGTTTAATTTAGGAATGACATAATTGAAAATATCCAGGCACTTCTCAACTTTATTTTTACCCATAAAATACTAGAATGTCATTTTAACATTGTTTATGTTTTCTTTTTTCTTTATTTTTTAGACCGCTGAGAAAGAGGAGTTTGAGCACCAGCAGAAGGAGCTTGAGAAGTTGTGCAACCCGATTATGACCAAGCTGTACCAGACTGAGGGACAGATGCCTAGAGCTGGTGCGACTGGAACCGGAGGGGCCTCGGGACCCACCATAGAGGAGGTCGACTAGACTGCACTGCAGCCTCAACAAATGTTCTTTCTTTATGTTCAATGTCACAGACGGCCTTATTTATATTTCCAATGCATGTTCTGAAGAGTAAACAAATAATTACTGTCCTCTGGACATTGTTTTTCCTTTTTTTTTGAAACTCTACAAGTTTCTAAGTTAAAATGGTTATATGTTTATATTGCCTCAAAGTATTTTGGTTGGTTACTTTGAGACTAAGTTGTACTTGTTGCACAGTTCTTCACCGTAAGAAGAATAAATAAATAAATGAATGAATAACTTTGGACTCATTTTACTTCTTGCAAGTCTTCTGGTCTCTATAAAATGAACAACTTTCTAGTATTTTCAATAACTAGTATCAGTGGAATTTCTATGACATTGTAACTTTAAAGCAGTTAAAGTTACAAGTTACCTCAAGGGCCCCACTTCTTTAGAAGTTGGTCCATTATGCTTCCTTTAGTTAAAAGGAACAAAAACAACTTGAAGTCTACACTTGTTCTTTCTACAAATCACAATGGCTCCATATCTTGATGCCACCGTCTCGCATCTGAAGACGCAATAATGCTAAGAGAGGAAAATTTGAAAGAGTCTAAATTATTATGAGTCAACTGTAGAACGGCACAATGAGTTTCAACAGAAATTGCACTGAAAAAAATGCACCTTTTTATTGCAATTCACAGTAGATCTTAACCACTGCAAAGTCTTTGGAGTTCAGTGGCAGTTAGAAACCTTTAACTGTTATTTTTTATGATAATCAAATGAAATATTCAGCCCAAAGGAAGCATGTGTAGCGCAAATGAAAGTGGTTCCAAGGGGAATCCTTGAGGAACACCACCAATTGAAGGGCTTTGTAGAGAAAAATGGTTCCCCCAGTTTAATAGACAAAGATTGTACAGACAAATGGGAGGAAAGCACCTGATCAAGCACATTTAAGAAGCTGTCGTAAAATTAAGCAAAATTAATAGAAATGGGAGCAACATGTATAACCAGGCAATCAAATTGAGCTGATTAGACTCCAACAGTCGACAAATTATCGCTGCGATTCCTGAGATCCTTCTGCCGTGAACCAGCTGGAAAGCAACAAAATGAATGGTCAGTGCAGACATTTTTAAAAAATGAGACAAACTCAACACTTTTTTTCTCCTTTATTTTTGCTTATCGTTGAACGTGACGAGTTACAGGAAGTTGTCAGGAAGATTCACGTCGACGCCGGACCATCTCAGCCACGTGGTTTCGCTTGCAGACTGAAAGCAGCTCAGCGCGAGTTGGAGTTCCTTGGGCATTCGTGCATCCGGTAGGCACACATGTAGAAGATACCTAAAAAGAACGCTCGATTAAAACGAGTGAAACACCTTCTCACATATGCAAAAAATGTTAAGGCTTGCACCTGAGAAAAAGGTGAGCACCACCGCCACCCAGCCCATGATGTAGGACCAGGAGAATCGCCAGCTGCCATAGCGTTTCCCGTAGTAGTTGACCGTCACCCCCGTGTAGACGGCCATGGCCAGCAGCACAAAGAAGCCTGCGTGACGGATTTCCGGCCGTTACCGGTTTCAGTTCTGCACAAACCGGGAAAAGGAGAGCAGCGGTGCAAGTAACTTACAGGAGATGAAGAAGAGGATCCCGGCCGCAAACGTCTTGTCAAAGCCGTCGAAGGAAGAGTAGTGGACGAAGGCCATGATGCCGATCACGATGCCGATGAAACAAGCCAGCAGGGAGAGAATCATGAAGGCCCGAGTGGCGTCCCAGTACGCTGTGGGATAAGAGAGATGTTGCTGGGGGAAGCAGACAGAGTTTCGTGTTCTCAGCTGCGCGGCGGGAAAGCTTTACGCGCTTCTCAGGGTCAAAAGGTCGCCGTGGGGAAAGAGGAGGATGCTAGTGGTGTAGATGAAAAATATCTGTTCAGTCAAAGTAAAACGGACTGGCATCAAAAGCTCAGTTTTTATCCAGGTCATTTCATCTGCTACATCACCTTGAGCTGAATGTTCTGCTTTATTGAAATTTGATTTCACATTGTAATTCATGATGACCTGTGAGCTGCTGATCTGTCCAGGGTTCTGTGTTCACTGTGCTTTTTGTGGCTATTTTTCATTTGACTTATTGTTTGAAAGTCTATTTTTTATTGTTCCTCAAAGTGGCTGTTTTTTCCCTAAGTGCCTATTGGCAGAAAACTGTTATCATTTTTTTTTCTTCAGTCTTTTGATGTCATTATTAGGGCTGAAGTGATTAATCAGGAATGATCGACTAATTAAGTAATTGACTGATCATTAACTGGAGTATACAGACTGAACAACAGGCCATTTGCTGAAAGAATAACACAGTCAGAGCAATAATTAAGCCAATACTGTATAACAAACATATGCATTTTGAATTTAAGATGAAAAAAAAAACACCTTTGTAAACATGTTCTACACAGAACTCCTGAAGTTTTGTAGAATATAGTTCTAGATTCACCTGGTTCAAGTTCTGTAAAAAAAAAAAAAAAAAAAAAACCCTTAAGTATCTTTTGCTACGTAATTATTAATGAGTTAATCCAAAAAATAGTCGACTAATCTACAACTGATTAAGTGCGAACAAACTAAAAAAGTGCTACATTTTTGAATTTCAGTCAAAAGAAGTTTATTCTTTATTTAATCATTATTATTTATTTATTTTACAGTAACTGAATTATTTATTCATTTAAATATTGTTAATGCCTTACAAAGATTGTATAAAAAAAATCAGCAACATTTTTTAAGACCTGGTTAATCCGAATGACCATCTGACTAATCTGTCACTGAAATAATCCTGGGTTACAGTCCTAATTTTTATCATTCTTGAATTTATCTTTACTGATCTTTCTTTTTTCTAACATCTTTTCCAACTTTATGCCACAGTATAATCATTCAGACTTTCCTGTTTTATGGATTGTAGTTTAATTAAATTTTCTTGTCCCGTCTTTTGCTTTTATTGCTGCTCATTGTTCTGCAGTCACGCCGTCGTATATGTCACAGTAAGCTGATGACTGGTTCTGTGGGTTTAACAGGGTGACCAGAAGGAGCTTGGTCCGACACGGTCAACTAAACGCGCCACGGCCTCCGGCCTGCGCGCAGCGAGTCTCACCGATGCTGTCGGAGTGCGTCATGCACTTCCCAGGCACACAGTACCGCCACAGGCCCTGGTGCATGTAGTTGCTGGAGTGGCGGTACTGCATCCAGTAGTCGGTTGCCGTAGAGACGATGAGGAGTATGTTCCCGACTCCGGCGCAGAACAACCCGCCTCCCATAAAGCTGTACATCCTGCCAAAATATACCAAGAGAGAGGAGAAGAAGAAGAGGAAGAAATGAAAAAAGGACGGGTCAGGGCTTGAGACGGATCCGGATGGCGCCGCTTCGGCGTGGCAGCTCAGAAGAAACCAGGAGAAGACGCATGAGGGAGCTTATCAGCCCTTTACTCCACATGAAGAAGCAGGCCGGCTTGATCTAATCCCTCGTTGACCTTTGACACCGTCAGAGCAATGTTAAACATGTTTGACTGAATAAATCAGGAGGCTTTTCAGGAATAGCAAACAGGAGGCAAAATGAGCCAGAGAATATTCTTCTTGCTTCAGATTCAGTGGAGCATCCACAAAAACATGACATCTTCTCAGAATATTTTATGCAAAGTGGACCTTTCCAGCATTTTTGACCCAAATAAAAAATATTTTAAAAATCACAATTCAATTCAAAAGGCACATTAGAAAAATAACTTTGGGATGCAGATTTGGAAAGGGACTCGACTGCGTTACCTTTGCGTTTTTTGTTCTTTTTCCTCGGAAACAGTTGAGGGAATCAATCCAACATTCCGGGTCGTCGCAGCGCAAAGCAGGAAAGTTTTGTTTGCGTGCAGGAAACCGAGCCAGCAGACGGATCGGTGGGGGGGACAATAGGGGCCCCGCGGAGCCGCAACCAATCAGAGCGGATGAGTCTCTGTGTTTGAGGGGGAATCTGCTGAAAACACAGAAACTCCCAAAGCGTCCCAGTCAATACTGATGACGGGGGGCTTTTCATTCACACCTCACACGGTAAACCCGCGACCTGCAGCAGGTGGGGCCCCGGGGCCGGTGCGCAGACAAAACCCGGAGCAGTACAGCAGAGTTCAGTCATTTATTTTTAAAAAAGTAAATAAAAAATGTTTGCAAATCCCTTCTCGGCAATTATTTGCATCAGTTTTTCAAATAGTCTAAGCACCTGCATTATCATGCTGCTGCACAAATTTGGTACACAGCTTTACATCTGGTTTTGCATTTCTGAAACTTTCTCACATTTGTTTTTCCATGTGCAAATGCAAACATTTTATTGCACAGGTGGAATAAAATGTACAACTTGGGTCACATTGATCCATTGGTGATGACTTCCACATGTTTGTTTGGTTGTTTTTTGTCCTCCTGTTTGGCTTGGAATCAGCAAAAAGTACAATAAGTCATACATTTATTTTCTCCTTATGGATTCAGAATATTTTCTTTTCTCTTCCTTTTTTACTGGAAACTCTAGTTACACTTTTTTTTTTTTTACCCACAAAGTTTAAAAGCTGTGCAATGCGTTCTCTTTACTTCACAATTATCTTGCGGTTTGTGCTGATGTGTGACGTGACAAAAGTAGAGACTCAAGTTTTTTCTTTCAAATGAAACACATTTAATTGTTTTTCTTTTTCTTAAGTTAATGAAGAAAAAATGTTTTTTATTATTTGGTCTGTTTGAAGGAAACAAGCAGTGGAAGGAGGATAAATTGCTGTCATTAGGTGCATTGAACGCACCATAATGGAGGTTCTTTGGTTCGGCGCAGCAGCTTTGAACTACATCGATTTAACTGCGGTTGCCAGGGCAACACTGCAAAGCGGTGGCTTTGGAGCAAATAGTCGAGTTCTGCGTTTCCCTTAGGGTTTTTATTTTTGATTTATTTTTTTCACCTACACAAAGAGACCACATTGAAAATAAAGGAACAGTCCACACCTCACCACTAGGTGGTGCTTTCCAGTCACTTTTCGATGCTGCTCACTCTGCTGAACGTTCACCTGCTTAGAGGTTGCACAAATATGAAAATGACATTGCTTGAACGTCAAAGGCCTTCATGCTAAAATGACAACGACACATTTAATTGCCAGAACACAGAATGTGTTCACCGGCGGCACAACGAAGACGGATCAGACTGACCTCCGTTTCATGCTGGGGTCGAGCTCTGGAGAGATTTCCCTGTGACTGTGATGGCATCGTGATAATCGTGCGTGGAGCCTGAGAAGGAACTTGAAATGCGCGCGTGGTTCATGACGCGTCGCGGATTCGTTCTGTCTCTCGGTTTTTAACAAATCACACCCAGACCACAAAGTTCCGCTTTGTCTCGTCGTTCCAGGGAGAGAACGTTCCCCCACCCCGAGTCCTGGGGATCGTCTAGATGTTTTGTGGGTAAATGTGAGACTTATTGTTTTCTTTTCCACCAAGATGAATTCTGAAGCAAAAGTGACTTGCAATGCTTCAGTTGTTGTTCTGAGTTTTGAAAAGTTAACCATCGGTGTGATTTTATGAGGAAAGGTTTGCGGCTGTTGGTGTTTTCTCTGTTTTTCGCGCATTGCTGCTCTTACTGTGCTTCAAAAGTCTTAAATTGGCTGATAGATGTCATAGATTTTGTTCCTCGTGTTTTTTTGTTTCTTTTTAAATGCTTTTTTCATTCGTCGCGGGACATTAAGCTTTTAGAAATCTTTAAACCTGATTCGTGTCGTCGGAGAGGTTCCTTGAGGTAACTTACTCTTTGGTAGAGCAAGAAAAAGTCAGATTAAAGTGCCAGAAAATGAGTTTAATCACAGTGAGACTTAAGAAAGATCCTACAAGGGCAGTAGCCCAGGGCCCCAATGTCAAGGGGTTCCACTGGTGTTCTTTTCTTCTTTTTTTTTTTATCAATGTGTGTTTTGCAAACGTCGTACTTTACATGAAGCTCTTAGGCTCAGGTCAGGTGAGTTGCATAAACATTTTGGGATTTTTATGAATAAAAATAACACTTCAGTATAAGTTATAGCAAAGTTTTGTGGGGTATCAGCATTGAACTACCTGGCTAGACGTCATATTAAACCTACTGTGCATCACTTCTCCTGCATAAGACTATTTAATGTTAAAAATCATAGCCTGACCTCAGAACCTCCACATGCCTGAAAGCACAGGATCGCACCGGCAGCCTGAATCCTGCGACCTGTTCAGATCGCAGTGGATGACCGTCATCCTCCTGGCCCGGTGGGGGCCAGATGGCGTTGGCCTAAGACGACGGAGTCCAACACGTTTTCCACACTGTCTCCCTGCTGCAGTGCTGCAGCTGGTTCTTCAGCTAATAAGATCAGCACCAGGAAGGTTCATCCAGTGGATGACAGAGCTGACACAGGAGGGTGGAAGCCTTTCATATTCCAGCGCTGTCACGTTTCAGGGGCTGTTGCTCCGAGATGAAGGCTTCCCGCTCTCATTAAGCCACGTTCAGGCTCACAATGCTGCAATCTGAGGGAGGAGAGCATCAACTCGTGCACACTTTCTCGTAGATGAGTCCTTTTTGGGGTTTTTTTTTACTGTTTTTTTTTTGTTTCCTCGGAACGTGATGCGACGTGCTGGGAGTTTATTCAGTCTTCAGGGTCATTTGGCTCCGGTTGAAAAACTTGAGCTCATTTCTGTTTTTTTTTTTCCGTGCTTCAAGGCCTCTCTGAATCAGAGACAAAAAGTTATTTCATTGCACCTCAGAAGGACTTGCAGAAGAGTTTATATCACTTTCGCTTTTTCTTTTCTTTTCTTTTTTTTAATTTCTCAAATTAAAACCGCAGACTTCAGTGGTGAATTTAAGATGATTCAGTTTGACACGTCTCTACCAAATACACACAAACCAAAGATGTTCTTTCCACTGTAGAAATAAAACGTCAACCTGTGATGTGCGGTTTTATTCGGCCGCCTTTACCGTGCGAGTGGTCTTCAACCTGTGGCTCCGGAGCCGCAAGTGGCTCCTTTGGGTCTTCCAAGAAGCTCTTAATAACTAACAATCCAAGTCAAATGGTCGTTCTCTGGAATTTCCAAATTTCCTGCAGTTGATGTTTATCAAACTCGCCCTATTTCAAAGGATCATGGGACATTGGCAGCTCTTTGGATTGCACAGCTTGCAGACTCCTGGCCCAAAATCCATCTAATAAGTCAAGAGAGTCAAGCTGTGTGCTATTTCATCTTGGTAAAAGTGTATTTGTCCAGGAATTGAGGGAGATTCGAAAGCTGACGATAGAACCCGGGTGTGGAGCAAACCAGCTGGTACCAAACAGGGACCAGGTCCGGTTGTTTTGCGAGGAAGGTTTCCCAGACTTCCTGGAGCGATGGCGGCACTTCCTGTCCCGTTCGTTAGTGGAAACGTCTCCGTGTCCACCAAGTGCTGTCGGATCCTCGGTGTTTCCACAGACACTGAATCCTCCAGTGACGCTTTTCCTCCCCCTTGCATAGATGAAAGCATCATCGTATATCAGTGTCTCTGCTTTCTGCATAATTAAACTCTTCAATGTGCAGCCATGTTTGTAATGAGGTTTAGGCAATATATTGTAACCCTGCTCTGAAACATGTGCATCCTGCTATTGCTGACAGTCTGCTCACATCCCTACATTAATACTCCCAGCCACATGAAAACGGATCTTAATTGTTTTATTTATACGGATCGCACCGAAACACCAAGTCGCTGTCGGCAACCAGGGCGTCAATCATGGCTTTTTTAAAAAGTTTTTAAAAAATTTTGGCCAGTTACATGTTTTCCCTTTAAGATCTCGAGCAAACGCTCCTAAGCTTACCAGTTACTGCTTACACTAATGCCAATACGTAATCAATAATCAGGATAAGTTACTCATTCAGAAGATACGGAGTGACTCAATTTCACAGAGTCAAAGTCTCAAATTGAGTAAAGTTCGACAGCATGTAAATGATGAAAACAATGACACACAAATAGTTTCTCCCAGCTTTTGTTTTGCCGATTTGCCGACGTCAAAGCCGGCGCTTTTTGAAACTCTGTGTTGTTTTTGTGTCTGATGTTTTATTCTTCCACCAAACACTCCTCAGATCCGATTCGGTTCAAATTCAGGCTGGGAAATTCCAGATTCCTCAGCGAGAAACACAAGTCACATGTCAGCGTGACTCGCTAAAGTATTCACACTCTGCTGAACGTTCACCTGTTCACAGATTGCACAAATATAAAAATGACATTGTTTGAACCTCGAAGGTTTTCATAATTAAATAACATGACACACACACAAAATAAAAAAATAAATAAAAAATCTGACTTTCTCTCATTTTGAACAGCACCATCTTGTGGAACAGAACAAAACAAGGTGGTGGCACAATTATGGATCTGAAGTCAACACAGATTTTTTCCCAACGTTGTTGCCCAAATAAAATGCGTCATTTGTATTTTCAGCCACAGATTTTAAAGTTAACTTAGGTCTGGACTTTGAATAGGCCATTCTGTTTTGCGTATTTTGAGCCGCTGTTGTTCTGCCTTCACATTGAAGGTTCTTGTTGCTGGAAGTTGAACCTCTGCCATTTCTCAGGGCTTTTTTTGTTGACACGTGTTCTGTCCTGTATTCGGCTCAGACTCTCTAACACCTACGGCCAGATTTGCTCTTTGTACTCAAGGAAAAACGGCCTGGCAGCACGACGCGTTCAGCGTCGGTTTTCTGCCACACAGCTTTTTGTATGGAGGCCATAAAGGTTAAATGTGCTCATCCGATAAGGGCAGATTGTTTCCCCGCGCGGCAAAATTATTGAGCCATTTTTTTCCCCCTGCCTTTTTCTGAAGAGAAAAGCGTCAATGTAATAGTTGTCCTGTCAACATCAGTCTCCTGAACATTGGATTTTCTCAGCACCTACAAAGAGACCACGGGCCTCCTGGCTGCTTCTTTTTTTCTTTACTTTCTTTTCTCAATGTCTCTTGTTTGACAATGTAGCATGTTTGTCGGCGTGCTAATGGAGACCTTTACAGAGAGGGGGTGTGGGGGGAAGAAAGAAAGAGAGGTGGCAAACAGCTAAAGGGAAAGATGAAAATAAGAATAGAGGGGAAGGAAAAGGATGAAGGGAATGCAAGAGAACACCTTCGAGAACTTTAGTTATAAACCTGCAAAAAGAGAGAAAAAAATGACACAGTAACCAGTGAGAAACAGATGCTTTTATAACAGCGTGGCTGAAAAGCGCCGTGTTATGAATACGCAATGTATTCAGTGGCAACCGACGCCCAAGATGGAGTGTATGCTGAATTCAAAGACCTGTGTGTGTGTGTACTTTTATACCAGATACACAGGAACACTGACACCATGTTTATCTTCTCCTGGTCCTGATTTTTTTTGTGTGTGCTTCTTCTCTTTTCTACTCGTCAGGTTTAAAAGTGTGCATGAATTAAGTTCTGGTTAGGGTTAGAGTTACCCAAAAGACAAATTTTAGCAAAAAATGACTTAGCTCACGATTTCATAAAGGTGACGACTCCATCTCTCCAAAAATAGCCCCGCGTCGCTTACCTGGCTCCTGGTCAACATCTGTTCAACCCGGAATCTTCCCTTGATTGTGCAGGTCATGACATAACATTCCTATATGAAAATCTTTTAATGGTCATATGTAATATTAACATCTTCTTGTAAATAACAGCCATTTGCATTAAAATAACCAGATATGACCTATGGTAACATTCCACCGTTTGTGTATAAAAATATCAATATATTGAAGGAATTTCCCTTTTGAACCAAAATCATTAAGATAAATTAGCCTTTCAAAAATCAGAGATGACATCATTTAGACAGAAAGCTCTGTTCTTCTTGAAACTCCTGGTCTTTTCTGATTGGTCTGTTTTGATTGATCCTCGTCCAATAGGATGCGGGGCTTAAAGATGGCAGAAGATGAGTTTTTTACCAGTGGATTTCTGCCGAGTCAACAAATACAAAACACATTTCTACCAATTAGAAAACTACCTCACAGGTTCCTACAGCTGTAGCTGAGAACGCTGGTTACCTTAAAGATGTTTCCTTAAATCTTTCCAGTAAAAACAAAATGATATAATAATGATAAAAAACAACAACAAAAAAAACAGATCTGTTCTGAAAGCCAGAAAGGTTTTTCAGAGCACTTTTGAATCGTGTTTCTGCTTCCGAGTTTCATGGACGCGTTTCGCTGGACGGCAGCAGCAGCTGACTGGAAAACCCAGTCAGGCTGGCGTCGTCATCCGCAGAGTCCCACTGCTACCAACATGACTGCTATTCTTCTGTCACACTTAGTAGATTTCACACTCTACGCAAGAGGAACCTTTATGTAACAAAGCCTTTTATTTATTTATTATTTGTTTTTTCAAATTTAAAAATGAACACACTGGTGATCTAATACGGTTACACAGCCACACGGGAAGGTAAAACTAAAGCACTGGCACACTCACGCACACACACACGCACGCACATGCACGCACACACACACACACACACACCGACATCGTGAGATCTAGCTTCATGTCCCTCTTCCCCGCCCCGTCGTTCATCAAAAAACCAAAACAAGAAGAAAAAAAAAAAAAACAGAGAGAGACAAAAACGCAGCATCATAGTTTTGACGGTCAGGAGTAAACAAAAGATACATTCATTAATCTGCTGCACAACAACGCAATACTTCCATTTCATTCCCTTGAGCCTAAAAATACCAAACGTTTCTTTTCTTAGCAATAAATCTGATCACCTCTTCTTTTAAAAAAAATAAAATAAAAGATTACAGAGGAACTCTTTACAAGGAGGGGGGAGTGAGAGAAATCACACGCAAGAAGAAGAAGGAAAAAGAAGATCCTTAAGGTAAAACAAGAAGAGAATACGAGTAGCTTGTGAGCAGGCAGATGGCGAGCCTTGACGCTTTTCCTTTTGTCTTCAGCTTTTCGCGGGATGCCATGGCAACACATTGATGGTTCGCAGAGACAGGAAGTTGGGGAGGAAAAGAGAGGAGAACGTCACATGGTGTAATCGGCGGCTGTCTATAAGAGGTTCTGCGGAGAAAGCCACATGAGAAGAGTGCGCGCGGTTAGACGAGCAGAGACACTGGCATGCAGATTACACAGAGAACAGCTGTGGAGATGAAGCCGCGGGAAAAGAAACAATCCCTAAAGTGGGCAAGTAATGAGGCTCACATATCATGTTGCCCGTTTTTAAGATTCAGTTTCAAATCAGAAAAGTGTCTTTGCTGAGGAATCGGGTCCACAAGTGTAAGTAACTTGAATAATCATATGTGGTAAAATGGAAAATCTCAGTCACGTGCCAATTAAAAAAAAAAAATCTGATTAATCGATTAATTGTCAGAATAACTGACAAAATAATCGATTACCAAAATTATCATTAGCTGCAGCCCAGCTGAAGGTTTAAATAGCCTCTTTCTTTTGCTCCTTCTGCGCTCTATTGTCGATGAAAGTGATCCCCGATGAAATGAGAATGTGGTTTTAACAAAGTAAAACAGTTTAAACGACAAACGATGGTCAGCAGATAAACCGCAAAAGCAAATATTTGAGTCAACGCGTGCGGAAAGTGCTGCGGTGTGAAAAAAAATGCGTCCAAACAGCCCAGGAAAACACTTAAAGGTACAGGACGCCTTTAAATGAGCTTTAAGAAGTCGATGTGCATCAAAACATGCTCATAAATCTGTTCCACGTGCTGCGGCTATGGCGGAGGGAATCCTCACACTATCAGGGAATATTGCCACATCCTCTCTCAGCTGAACATCTGTTGTTGGATATTTTTAAACCACAAACAACATTTCATCTTTAGGCGGCAGAAGAGAAAAGTACTTCTGAAGTCAAACTCGGAATGACTGTCGGTGTAATTAATGTGCTTGATGTATTTTTAATACATGTATTAAAAGTTTGCAGAGAGTCTGCAGCAGCAAATGAGATTTACTGGGACTCTCATAGGTCTGCCTAACCCAGTTAAGAGCCTGCAATTGTGTGAGAATAAATGAGAATAATAAATCCTCTCAAAACATTTTCCTCTTTTAGAGTAATAAGCTATAAGTGTTCAATTCAAAAATGGCAAGGAAGAAGGAAAAGAAAGACTCTTTAGCTAATACTTTACTGAAACACCTTCAAATTAATCTACATACACATAAAACGCATCTATGCACATAAGATCTATTATAGTAAATCAGATTAGTTAGAAATGAAGTGCAAATGTCTTGGTACCCTTTAGCTGAAGTCACAGTTGACAGAGATGTTGGAATCACTCAGAAGAAGAGTGAAGGAAACTCTCCACAATTACATATTTGTTGAACGTGTGTAGCAAAGGACAGCAGCGGCAGTCATAAAAACAGTGTCAATGAAAAAGTGTCAAGGTCACAAAAGTGGCATCACGAAAACTGAGTTTCTCCGAAACGGCTGAGCAGACAAGACAAAAGGTCAGGAAGGAAGGTTGTCAGGAGTCTGACAGGAACACTGAGGGCAGAGCAGGTTCTGGTCGGGACCATTTATGATTTATGTTCTACGTGTGACAAGACTCCTGCTGTGTCCATGTGACTGACACCGGAGGCTGCAAATCGGACGCAGTTTCTGCCAAAGAAAACTTCCCGGCGAGGCGAAAACTCTTCTAAAAGCTTCATCTGATGACAGCAAAGCCGAACTCTTTGGGCCTCAAATCCTAAATATCATGTTGACAAAAATAGCTCTGAGCGTTATTTTAAGAAACCACTTCCACAGTGAGACATGGCAGTGGCAGCATTGTGATTTGGGGTCACCTTTTTTTCCAAGGGATTTTTTTGTTTTTTTTGTGATCGATAATAAAAATATGAACACATAAGAATTTTAGTTTTCTCCAACTGTGCATGAAACGAAAGAAAAAAAAAAGATTAAATTCATTAAGTTCTCAAGGTAAACAAACATGAACAAAGCAAGTTTCACTTATGTCATTAAATTACTTGTGACCACTTAACAGTTTTTTTTAAGTTGGAAAACCATTCTCTTTTTCTCAAATAAAATAAAATTTAATTAAATAAAGAATAGTGATCATTTAATTTGCTCTTTTCTTTATTTTGTATTTATGCATTTTGTGGCTTTTCTAGTTATGCCTTCAATGAAGAAGTTGACTCTTGTTTTCCTCTCTATGACTTGATTCCCTGCAGGGTCAGTGGGAAAGGCAAGCATTTTTCAAGTCAGGGCCGGTGCCCCCTTTACTCCCCCTCTTGGGGACGCCACTGCCAAGAGAAGACAGAAGGTTCTTCAGCGACACTTAGGTTTAGGGGGAATGAACAATTATGCAACCAGGCTTTTGAAGTTGTTGTTTTTTGTGTATGGATTTCAGTACGCTGAAGGTAGAACAATATTGAAATAATTTACCGCAGTTGGTTATTTTTATTTGCTTCACAAAAATTTGACATTTTAACAGTAATATGTACATTTTCTTTTAAGCCGCTGTATTTAAATGTCATACTTCAATCGGCCAGTGGACTGAGAGCTGTACTGGATAGAAGAAATAAACTCTAGATCCCATCTTTACTCATTTATGCGTTTATTTATAAATATTTATTAAAGACGGGCCTGCTTTCTGCAGAGTCTCTCGTTGACTTGATAACAGTTCAGTATCTGCTCTGTTCAGACTCACCTTATCTCTCCTCTGAGCAGCGGCGGCGGGCCGAGGAAATGCCCGTCTCCCCAAGGACCCGGAGCCCGACGTCTGGACCTCGGACAAGACGTTTGGCTGTCTATATGGGATTACATTCTCATCTGCTGAGGGAAAACAGATCGCTCACATTTAAAGCGTTTTAACCCCTGAATGACTGAAAACAGAGATCATTTACCAGAAGCTCCGCAACAATATTGAATCAGACCTGTGTGACGTTGCTGCCAGAGCCGGTTTTGTTTTCCTAAATTTTTTATTTTTTATTTTTTTACCTTGTGATAACCACTTTGCAAGTCCTCCCCTCTGGGGTGAGGAATCGTCTCCTCGCTTCAGGAGAGCGGGCAAATCGCTTCCCTCTCTTGTTTCGCTGTCTGCTTGTCTGCGACTCGAAACGTCCACAAAGAGCCGCGGGGAGCCGTCTGCGGCGGGAGGGGCCGGCGGAGGCGGGAGTTCTGTGTGTGATTCATCAGCGATGATTAAAAAAAATTATTAAAAGAAACAAAAAAAACAACACACAAAGACAAAGAGAATTTTATCTTAAAGGGAATACTTTGACATTTCGGGAAATCTACTCATTCACTTTCTCGCTGCGAGTTAGATGAGCAGATATCACTTTTGAGGCCGACTTGCTCAATAGCGGGACGCGGAGGGGGACCTGAAAGCTCAAAGCGGGAGCCTGTGACTCTCAGCACCCTGCTTACCCATGATGCATCATGTCATTTTAGTGACGACAGCCTTTTTCTGGACCGCTGTGAATTAAAGTGTTTGGACATGGAAACCAGCGATTACTCAGATGGTAAATGGGCCAAAGTCAGATATCTAAAGAAGGGGTTCCCTAACTTTTCCATCCTAATAACATTAGCCTCTGATCAGGGACTCTATGCAAACCAATAGACAACGTTAATATAAAATATGTAAAGAAACATTGAGTTGTGGAATATTATTTCACTTTTATTCACTATTCAACCATTATTACATTTGTTTAGTGTAAATGCTGCTTCGAACTGTTTTTAACAGCAGTGTGAGTCGCAGTGGTGCAGATATATTTTTGAAAAACACTTTACATTTTACGATTATAAAAAAAACTACGATTGAAAATCTGCGATTGAGACTTTAAAAAATGAACTTTTCTGTCTCATAAACGACATGGTGACGTTTTGAACAAATATGTTAAAATCATATTCTTTATAAAAGTTACACGCTGCAGCTTTGACCAGCTAGAGAAGTGCCGTTACAGAACACATGCATCTATTACACATTACAGCCTGTGACCTTTGCAGGCCGCTGGTTGTGCTTGATTTTATTTAAGGGCGTCAGAATAAAGAGGATCAACTATTAAAGCAAACCACACTATTCAGGCTTTTGAAAAAAAAATGGCTTGTTTGTCAATCTTCCTAATGTTCCAAGAGAGTCTATTGAGAAAAGCTTGAGAGTTCAAAGGGCATGAGTACTTTTGCTAATAAAAATGAAACAAACCGGAGCTGATGGCTGCTGTTTAATTCAAAGAGGTAATAATACAAGAAGCCATGTTTGCGGATTTGCTCTAAATAATTTAGAAAATGAGCGGCGTTCTCTTAACTGGATCAGAACTGACCGGTCGTGGCTCAGGAAGTACCTGCCGCGTCTCCGTGCCTCTCTCTCCGGCTCTGTCCGTCCCTCGGCGCTCTCTTTTTACTCCTGGGTTTCTGCGCCGCAGCCGTCGGGCTCGACTCGGCGGCCGCGTCGAGAGATTGTCCTGACAAGAGAGCATTGCTGACGTCATCCTTTAGGGAAACTTTACGCAGAAGCCAAAAAAATTACAAATAAATCCCCCGTGAATAAATGCAACACGATTTACTTTCTGCTGAGTAACAGGAAAGCAGATTCTTTGTGACGCGGCGCGGTCGCGTGAGTCCAGCCTCAACATTCAAATTAATTCAAACTGACCTTTGCCGAGGCTTTCTCCCCTGAAATCATCCTCCCATTGGCTGCTGTGGTTGCACAGATCACTGGCTTCCAGTGCCTTGGTGTTGGTGAATAGATCGGGGTTGGACTGGGACACCTGGCTCTGCTGGTGGCGAACCAACAAGTCAAAGTGCTGGATGCGGGGACTGTCGCCTGGCTGCGGGGCGTCATGCTGTGGGGGAGGCATTACTTCCTCTGGTCTGGACGGCAGGTCTGACCCGTCCTCCCTGTAAGAGTCCATCAGGTAGGTTCTGGCCGGCAGCGGAGGACACCAGTCATCATCTTCCTCCTCGGAGCTAAACGTTGGGCGGAGAGAAGGCGGAAGGTGAAGGAGTGGCTTTCAGAGAAACACTCTGTCTTCTTGCATCTGATTCAGGATGTGGGATTCGTTTTCAGTTAGATTTTTCAATACAACATGGGGCTGGGCAATATGGCTGAAAAACATATCACGAAAACATATCACGATACAAGCGTCTCATATCGGTTAATGTCAATGGATATCGATTTGTTTTGCTTTGTGTTAAGTATCTGAAATGTTGCCTTACTGGTGCTGTTACCTTTTCCCTTTTATTCACTGATTGTTCTTTTTATTGTTTTATTTTTGATCAGTTATGAGGTCTGGTAGTGAAACATGAAACTGCTGCTGCGTAAGTTATTCAACAAGTTGCTGCTAGGTAACCGCAGAGCGAGTGAGTTGATGACCTTCACCTTTCTCAGCTGGCCGTGAGCCGAGGTTGAGTGGCTTCTTCTGCCTACGTCTCCCAGAATGCCATGTGGCTCAGTGAATATTCTAAACACTGAATATTGAATATTCAATCAGGCATATTATTAATTGATATTGATCATGTGTCTGTTGCGGTACATATTGTTGTTGATTTATTGTCCAGCCCTAATCTTAAGCTTCAAAGGGTTTATTTGAACCTTTGAAGGCATCGCACACAACTTGGGAATCAGCAAGTTTAATTTTTGTGACAATTTCATCGAATCCCCAATTGGTCAGAGTTATGTTCACATACAGCAGATTGAGGTTGTGCAGCTTTAGTTATCCAACAATCAGTTTGGACTCTCTGCCAGCTAAATGAAGAGTAGTTGTTCTCATTTCATTTCTAGATATTGAGAAGAAAACAGACAACATGTTTTGTATTAAAATGGATGGATAAGTTTTCTTCCAGAGGATGTTGACGTGTGTTTATTGTAATTCCTGTAAGGTTTGTTTGTGTATTGTTAACGTCTGCACGCTGTGAGTGAAATCGAAGTGAATATCTTTTGCTTGGTCACGCAATTTTGCCCCATAAATCCAATTCCCATTCTGTAAAAACACATAGCTGAACGACGAAGCGTGCATTTAAATTGACGTGACACTCAATGCAACTGATGACAGAATATAAATGTGTCCTGACCACAAATAAAGGAGCAAAAGATATAAAAAAAATTAACCAAATATTTCCAATGTAGAACATTTTTTAAACCACATGTACTGTGTTTTCAAAGCACATGTGGATCGCAGCGTCCCTTGAAAGCCTCAGCAGGGCAAATGTGATTTAAATAGTGTCCTGAGGCCGAGCCGTGGAGGAGAAGCTGTGCTTGACCCGACATGGGAAGAATAATAACACATACAAGCAAAGTATGCAAGTGGCTCGACCTTCAAAACCCACGCCGCTGCGATCTTTGGTGTTTTCATGCGTTCTGCTGGTGCAGAGGAGATCTGATGAATCCCGATTCCTCGACCCAGACAATCTGATTTTATTTGATATATTTTCCTATGCTTCCTAAAAAAATATTCTCTCTTTTTCAACGCACATGTTCAGCATTCAAAATGAAACTGAGCCACACGGCGAAAAACACCAAATCCTATTTTTGTGTCTATTTTTGGTATAGTTTCTAGTGCACACAACTTGATACACTTGACATGAGTAACTTTTTAGCAAGATATCAAAGCTTGCTCAAGATCAATATTTCTTAATATTGATTTTTAAAAAGCACTATTTGTTAATCAACATTAAGGAATTATAGACTTAAAACAAGCTCATATTTACTGCTGGACAGCTACTTGTAAGTTCGTTTTATCAAATCTCAGGTAAGGGTGGGCGTTTATTGGAATGTTTACTGTGAAAAAATTACTGTCATTATAAAAAATTTATTTATTATTATCACATAACGCTACATTCCTGTTGATGCTTATAAAAATTGACTAAAATTTTCTTTTTGACATTTTTTCCTGTGTTTTTTTCCACGGGAGGCGCCAGAAAAAAATAATAAATTCAAAAATATGAGTCAACAAAGTCTCTGTGTGGCATCCAGAAAAAGCTTCATTTCAATAGGAATGTTTTTCAAGAGCAGTATTTAAAAACTGGAAATAAATGGTTTTACCATTTTTACTGTGATCACAATAATACGACAAAATATTATGATAAAATTTTAAGTATATCGCCTACCCCCAATTTCAAGTGTCCTAAGATATTTGTCCTAGAAACCGAAAACAAAAAGGATGTTATGTTTTTGCAGTTGCATCACCTTCCTTTTCTTTCTAAGTTGTTGCCAGAGTATTCGCACAAACCTCAACACCAACCGGTAAACACTTCAGAGCAATCAGAGGGGTCAACAAACGAGCAAAGCCGCAATAAATCAGACACGTTGCTCAAAGTCCTCATGAAACGGAAGCAGTACAGAAGAAGGAGAAGAAGACGACGGGCTCCACCTCCGTGACGCCTGCTGTCATGTCAGCGCCGTCGGGGCCATTTTAATGACGGACGTGTCATTGAAAACGGAAAGCACTAATTCAGCCTGTCAGACGGAGCCTAATGTCATTACAAAAGACACGGCGCAGTCAGAACAGCCTTTCTGATCCCCACCCCGTTATGTCCGCAATCTAATGTGTCAGAAGCGGTTAGTGCGAACGCTCCCCTCCGCCGCCTCGCCTCGCCGTCGGTACACACACAAGTGTTAATTTGCAAACTCCTCAGTCCACCAAACTTCACTTAGGCTTTGCTTGACTGCCTTGGCAGCATTGCGGGGCAGCTTTGATGCCCAGCTGCCTTAACGCCATCTGTCAGAGAAGCGGAGCCAGAGGCCTTCTCGCTAATAATAATGAAATGGAAAAGAAAACAAACAAAAAAACCACTGAATTAAGAGAAGAGCCGAGCGTTCCAGGAGTCTGAAAGATGGCTACCTGTGCTGCGCCTCTCCTTTGTCTGGTTTTGGATGATCTCTGCCCCTGGTGGGCGGAAGAGGAAGCGATAAAACGTCCACCCAGGTGAGAGGAGCCGGCTTGGACAGGGATCCAGCAGATGCCTGCGAAGTCAGTTTGTCTGATAACAACAACAAAAATATAAAAAAAACAATAATTAATGTAGGCCTATCATGACAACCAATTTTGCTCAAAAATGATTGCAATAAACAATAATATTGTTTGAAGATATCACAATATAGCAATGTACATAAAAACTTTATTCCATTCAACATGTCTGTAATGGGGTAGGAAGAACTAACAACTTATTCATAAATACATTTACTTTCCTCAAAACTCTAACTAATCTCATGTGTCTTTATCATTTGTAATTTCTCTGTTTTTAGGTTGAGCCATCATTTAGTATCCTTAGTATCATATTCGTACAGTGGAATCATTGTTATTACTATTATCTTTATGTCCGGCTTGACAAATGAGTACACACTCAAAAAAATGAGCAAGATATGGATTTTAAAACAGTCCTTCTCTAATGGCTTCCCTCTTCAGCCGACCTCATTTCATTTCATCCTCAAAACAACGCGAACGTTTCCATAAGCGAAATTGACGAGAATTAGATCCACTGGCGGCACGACAAGCTGCATAAAGTGGATGAAAGTGGATGAACCAACCGAGTTTTAGTTTTCTTAAGGAGTTTCTCCAAAGCTTCAAAAGCTTTTCCAGTAATTTCTGAAGGTAACTTCTGTTATTTCTCAGTGTTTGCATGTGGATGTGAGTGGGAGGAGATAATGAATAAAAGCATCTTAACTTAAGGTTGGATAAAAAGACATTAATAAAAAAAAAAAAGGGTTAGACGACTTTGAAACAGTTTATTTTGCCACGTTCAAGGTCACACCCACAGCCAATTAGTTCAAAATGTGAATAGATCAGAAGGATGATGCATCTCTCATTTCCAGTAACAGGTGATTTATTTTATTTTTTTGAATGGTGGCGAGAGCCTCGCATGACTCGTTGTTTTTGTGCAGTCTGCTCCCCGTCTGACGTCTCGCGGTTTCACAGATCAGACAGAACATGCGCCGTAAGAGCAGCAGCGTCTCAGGGAAAATGTTCGACTGGCAGCAGACCCAGTGAACTATCGATTGAAACCATTTCAAAAGGTTGTAACAAAGTCGGTGGATTTCACAACAAATTGATGGGTTTTGAAAGCAGAAATAAATCGGATTGTGCCAAATTCTGTGTTATTAAATCCTTTCAAGACGATGGTAAGAGACAGTGCAGAGTTGTGTCAGTAGTACATATTGAGTCGTACTAACTATAAATCCTGAAGGAGGGGAACAAGCAGGACCTTTCCTTATTTCATGAATAATAATAATAAAAAAAAACATTAAAAAGAGGGACATCTGTCTCAGGATGACAAGACTCATTACTCTGGTTGAAAACAGACACAGGTTACCATGGAAAGCGGCTCTGAGCTCTGAGGGCCGTTCAAAGCTGCTAGTTTTAACTCTATTTGTTACCTTTTACTAACTTTTACTGGCCTTAATTTGAGATAATTTAATTTACTACCTTTTACTACCGCACAGAAACCCTGCTATAGGACCAAAGCTGATTGATGCTTTTCACAGTTTATTTTCAGGACACAGAAACATTTTTTGAAAAATGTGCAAAAAGATATAAATGTTTTAGAAAGTTACCTTCTGCCACTTTCAGTGCAACAAAACAAGGAGTTTGTATTGGGGAAATTACTGACCGTTGCTTTTCTTGGTGTACTGGAGTTTGGCATATTCTGACCCCGACTGGCCAGACTGGATGGTCCAGCGGTCCAGGTCCTGCTCCAGACCCAGAATCCCAGCACTGGGCAGCACTGGGTTGCTGCTGTAGGGGTCTGGACCCTGGTTGAAGGGCACGCTGGAGTAGGTGTCATAGTAAGCCAGCAGGTCGTCCTCGGCCGCTGTGTTGATGGTGCTGTAAATGGGGCTGTCGTTGGACGCCGTGCTGCGCTTCTCCGTCTGACTGGGGTAGATAATGATCCCGACGGCTGGACCGGAGGGGAAGAAGGAAAAAAAACAAACGAGTCACACTCTCGGCTACAGCCCTCTGTGCTCCTAACAGGCCATTTCACCTGCATAGTCAGCTTCTTACAGTTATAATATCTTTCCGAGTCCAGTTTTCCAGAGCAGCAGTTGACAAAGTCTTTGCTGTGAGTGAGGTTCGGAGTGGGCCAGGAGTCCGCCAGCCAGGGGTAATTGCCCATATTTGACCCCAACAAGCCAGGCCTTGAGGGAGTGAAAGGTGGGAACGCGTTAGCGCTGTTTCTATTAAACCCAGAGTGTCTCTTATCATGTGAATCAAACCTTAAAGAAGAGTTTACCCTCCATTGACGATTCCAGATCCTTCACTGTGAGCAAAGCCAACTGCAAAAAGGAAAAGAAGAAAGAAAAACAGCTACAATATAAATCATGTTTGACAGCAGAGAAGAGAAAGCTTTCGCCTTAAGACGTCTCTCTTTTTTTTCCCCTTTCCTTCAAAGACTCTGAAGAGAACGAGTGTGTTTAGCCCTGTATCACTACACTTCCCAGTCCAGTCAACAAAAGACAGGTTTGAATTAATTTCTGTGAAAATACACTTCTGACCTAAACACACTCAGACACACACAATGGATGGATTTCCATTAAAGCACGCCCGCAACAAAAGGGAGGCGGCCGCGCAAACCGACACAATCGTAAGGTAATCTAAATCGCAATAACATAACACATAAAGCCATACTACATGTGCTTCTGAATGCATTAGCAAGTGAACAAACGATGTGTTTTCACTCATGCACCCCAAGGCTTTGTTCTAAATATGTCCCACTGCAGTTTTATTTTCCTCTGCCTTCAGTCGCGCAAGCCAGCGAGCTCGGATAATAAATACATTTAAATTAACCGTGGATGAGATGAAAGTTCAGGATTTGTTTTGTGCACACAACTGAAATTGAAAGCATCCGTCACCATACAAGACGTTTCCCCCCCATTCCCAGAGGTGCGTCAGGAAGTTTGTCACTGTCACCGGGTTGAGCAAAAACAAACTGCGGACTGCTGAGTCGGGTTTTTTTTCTCTGTGCGTCTCTGCGTGTCGGATGTGGCGACTTTGAGGAGTGGGCTGACGACGCCGGGTCGCCAGTTTTGCTTGTCCGAAGCTGAACAGGGCGTTTCTGGCTTGCCTCACCTGCTGGGGTGTAGGCGAAGGATGTGGTGTAGTGGCCCAGCTGCTTCCTCCTGCGGTGCCGGCAGTAGAGCAGTCCGCCGGAGCCCATCAGAACCAGCCAGGCGGCCACGCCCAGCCCCGCGATGAAGGCCGGCTGGCGGATAACGCCGGCGATTTGCTCCGTCACGCTGAGCTCGCCGCCTTTCTTCACCTCCACCGGTTGTTGAGCTGAAAGTCAACAAAAAACACACAGAAGGTCAAACTGTTCAATGTTAAAGGTTTGCAGTAGTTTAGACTTTGGGTTTTGCTTTGAATAGATGGGTTTCCTACACCGTCTGGAAATTGGTTTCAGGATTTTTAGTCAAGTTTACAAGTGTAGCACATATCAGCAACAGGGCAGTTCAAAGGGCTTCACACCATATAAACAGAATATCGTAACCGATTGTGAAACAACAAACGTTACGTTTAGTCAAATACCATCATCAAAACCTTCTAGCAAATGTCGTTACTTTTGTTTAAAATAAAATCCTCGATGGAGTTCAGTTATTTTTTTGCCAAAAGATGATTTAGGCACAAAAAAAAAATAAAAAATCACTTTCGACAAAAAATGACTCAGGCCGCTGTTTTAGGAACGTGACTATATATATGTTGTTCAATGTTCCACACTTCCTGCTGATCAAAGACAACGCTGGAGTTTGATCCTTGATTTAAAGCAGATGTTTCAGCATCTTTGCAGTTTTCTGGAAGTTTGTTCCAGTTTTTTGGGGCCTAGAAGCCGAGTGCTGCTTCTCCATGTTTGGTTCTGGTTCCAGCATTATCTTAATTGTGGACACATATTTACTTTTCCTGAGTTTAATACATGTCAGATTGTCTTAAATTCCATCCATCCATCCATCCATCCATCCATCCATCCATCCATCCATCCATCCATCCATCCATCCATCCATCCATCCATCCATCCATCCATCCATCCATCCATCCATCCATCCATCCATCCATCCATCCATCCATCCATCCATCCATCCATCCATCATCCATCCATCCATCCATCCATCCATCCATCCATCCATCCATCCATCCATCCATCCATCCATCATCCATCCATCCATCCATCCATCCATCATCCATCCATCCATCCATCCATCCATCCATCCATCCATCCATCCATCCCATCCATCCATCCATCCATCCATCCATCCATCCATCCATCCATCCATCCATCCATCCATCCATCCATCCATCCATCCATCCATCCATCCATCCATCCATCCATCCATCCATCCATCCATCCATCCATCCATCCATCCATCCATCCATCCATCCATCCATCCATCCATCCATCCATCCATCCATCCATCCATCCATCCATCCATCCATCCATCCATCCATCCATCCATCCATCCATCCATCCATCCATCCATCCATCCATCCATCCATCCATCCATCCATCCATCCATCCATCCATCCATCCATCCATCCATCCATCCATCCATCCATCCATCCATCCATCCATCCATCCATCCATCCATCCATCCATCCATCCATCCATCCATCCATCCATCCATCCATCCATCCATCCATCCATCCATCCATCCATCCATCCATCCATCCATCCATCCATCCATCCATCCATCCATCCATCCATCCATCCATCCATCCATCCATCCATCCATCCATCCATCCATCCATCCATCCATCCATCCATCCATCCATCCATCCATCCATCCATCCATCCATCCATCCATCCATCCATCCATCCATCCATCCATCCATCCATCCATCCATCCATCCATCCATCATCCATCCATCCATCCATCCATCCATCCATCCATCCATCCATCCATCCATCCATCCATCCATCCATCCATCCATCCATCCATCCATCCATCCATCCATCCATCCATCCATCCATCCATCCATCCATCCATCCATCCATCCATCCATCCATCCATCCATCCATCCATCCATCCATCCATCCATCCATCCATCCATCCATCCATCCATCCATCCATCCATCCATCCATCCATCATCCATCCATCCATCCATCCATCCATCCATCCATCCATCCATCCATCCATCCATCCATCCATCCATCCATCCATCCATCCATCCATCCATCCATCCATCCATCCATCCATCCATCCATCCATCCATCCATCCATCCATCCATCCATCCATCCATCCATCCATCCATCCATCCATCCATCCATCCATCCATCCATCTGAAATGATTAAATAGTGAGGTTTTGTATTTGTGTTTCTCAAACTTTTTAAGGCCGACAATGACTTCCTCCTTTTCACAAATACTCCTGCAGCACCTAATTTGAAATTGCCCCCAGAATAATAACACATTTTAATGTCTACTACATGAAACAAACAACAACAAAAAAAACTTTGCTACAACTGTTGTTGTCCTCTAATAATGTTTTAGAGCTGTTTATAATTTAGAAGCATAATAAAAGAAAAAATAGACTTGAGTTGCTTTGGGGGAAAAAAAAAACAAAAAACTTTCCACTGTTTTCTTTTCAGAAAGTTTTAAGCCATTTAGCCATTATTATTACACAACTGTAGCGTCGCACTCTGAACTCGCTTCACCGCAAATAAACGGTTGTTTACGTGCAGTACCTTGCGGACCGGCAGGGGGCGTGCGCGGGCCACCATTGGTCCGGAGACTAAAGTTTGAGAAAGACTGCGTTAAAAGGACTGCAAAGACGAGACCCTGATTTAACAGTGTGTTATTTAAGTTACACAGGCTTTAAGCACTGAAAGCTTTGGGTAAAGTTTTAATTGACAGAACGTGTGGAACGCAGAGGCTGTGTGGACCAAGAGGAAAACAGCCTTTGTAGAAAAGGGAGCAAGGAAACAGCAGCAGTAGCAGCGAGGAACGATCAGACTTCTCTGATGTAAACATAAATGTCAAAGTTGAAGGTGACGAAGGAAAGCCGAAACACCAGTGTAAACAAACGAATAAATAAACGCAACATCCCTGACATGTCTTGATGACAGCGGTTGATGTTAATGAAATGTGCCAGAATTACAATGGATGCTCCATTCTTCCTCCTGACCCCTCCTGATCCCAGTCAGAGTGGTGTAAAAGAAAAACAGCAACAACAATAAAAGCAAATATACAGTGCCACAAAGTCGCAGACGACTCTCTAAATCCGATTTCACACCAGACCTTGAGCTGAAAACTCGACGTGCAGAACGTGTCCGCCGTTTGTTTGAGTTCGTTCACCTCTGGTGCCACGAAGCGCAAGCATCTCCGCCTTTAAACAACCTGTCTGCACGTCTAAAAGCAAGCTCACTCTAAAGAAAATGCATCATGTCCCAGATGAATGTGACCACAGAGAACATTTGCAGTTGCATCATTAATGCAGCTGTTCTGTTTTAGCCAAGGAAGCAAAACGACGACATGTCCCAGAAATCTCACGCAAGAATTTAGTATTAATTTGCAGAAAATGAAAAAATGCTCAAAATATCAAAAAAGACACAATGCTTTCAGACCTCTGATAAAGCAAAATAAAAAAATAAAATAAATAAATAATAATAATAAAAAAAGCAATATTAATGTTTTAACTGAGGAAGAGTTCAGAAATTGATATTTGGTGAAATAACCAGGTTTTCAATGGGGTTCAGTGCAGCGGGCTCTTCATTTTTCAGAGCTATACATATTGAGTTTACCATATCAATAAATTATATATCCATATCAATAAATTAGAATATTGTAAAAAAAAGGACAGCATTTCTTGTAATCCATTTAAGAAAGTGAAATTCACATATTCCATAGATTCATTACACATGGAGTGAGAGATTTCAAGCTTTTTAATTCTTGTATAAAAAAATAAGAAAGAATCCAAAATCCAATGTCTCATTAAATTAAAATTTGACCTTAGATTTATTTAAAAAAAAAGAAATGTCGCAGACAGAAACGCCAGGCTTCTTATATTTATTTCTAGAAACATTTGTGACATGTTTACAGAAGTTCTTTTGCATAATTCACTGCATCAATGCAGCGTGGCATGGAGTCAATGGGCCCGTGGTTCTGCTGAGTTCAACAGGTTTTGCTTGACAGTCCTCTCATTATTATCATTACATTTTCCTGTTGGACTCTTCCTTCCACTAAGCTTTCCATAAATATGCTTGGACACAGTAACAGCCAGATTCTTCATCAATGACCTTCTGTCGCTTATCTTGGTTGTGTCAGTGAGTGTCTGCTGGGCCGCTGACTGAAGGCAGCAGTCGAACACCTCTGTCTCATTTTTCCGAGAAACCGAATGTCGGATTTCAATTTGAAACACACGGATCTGTGTGTGACCAACATCTGCAATATGTAAGTTCAGCTTTTCGATTTCAGCACAGAGAAATCGCGTTCGTCCAATTTGCCGAGATGCACCAGCATTGTGAGACTTGATATGTTGAGACTTAATCGCTTTGCAAAAATTCAGCCGCCGCATCTCTTTGTAGCAGCAGCAGTGGCGACAACCGCAGAATACAATCTGGACTTTAACTGGAGTGATGATTTCTGCCCGTCTACTGAAATCCAATTAATCAACCTGGAGGTGGGAATGGATGTAACACTCCATCAGTCTATGGCTGTGAGAAGCTCTGGGTTTCTAAGAGCTAATAAAGACTGAAGAGAAATCAGAGACCAATCATGGAAATATGTTTTCAAAGCTGAGGGTGAGCCTGGTTATATGCCATCATTTCTCTCAAAGGTTTGCTTTATTTTTCCATTCCATCCACTAAAATAAAATGGTAGGACTGAGCAAAGCAGTATTCTATTAAGTTTGATAATCCATTCAATTAAATATGAAAATAAATAAATAAATAAAAAACTGTTAGAGAGAGGCAGGAGAATATTGCTGGCGGCATTGATTTGTGGAAAATGTTCTCTTCATCATCGCAGTTAGGCAGAAATAAGGCTGAACTTTTTCTACTGCTATGGTGAACGTCTTAAGAAACTTTGATAAGGTTTAATTTAAGATGCACTTCTGCATATGTGTTTAGGGAGGCGTATCACGGCCATTGTAGAAAAAAAACAACATAGAGGAGTACATTGCAGCCCAGAGAAAAAGGGAAACTTTTAGATTTATCTCAGAAATTTTCTAGAAAAAACCAAAAACGATTCTAAGCTTAGAAATTTTGAGGACGTTTGTAAGTTGAAGATTTGCCAGAAAGAAACTGAAATTTTCCAGGAAAAAGTTTTAAAAAGTAAAAAAAAAAAAAAAAAGTCAAACTTAGAATTATTTTTTTTTGACTTTTTCAGACTTTTTTTAGTGAAATTTGCGAACGATGAATGAATTTGCATTAATAGCTGCCATCTTAGAGTCTGTTATCTGCTTTCCTTTCATGATTCCCAAAACATCTGGCTAGCATGCAGATAGCGTCTAACGGTTGCGATGGTAACCTCACTGCGTGTGACGGGAGGAGAAACACGTCCAATCTAGAGAGCCTTGGCTAAAATATATGCAAAGCAATCAATATTTATATACCAGGAAAAAGGAATTTATGAATTATGAATAGTTCAAAAGTAAAAAAAAAAGATAAAATGTTTCAGCAATATTCTTTTAGGTTTAAAAATTCATTAACTGGTAGTTTTGCACCTTGCAAAACAGATACTTTATTTTGTTGTTTTTTATTTTTTTATTTTTTTAGTTTGGTGTGGGAGTTTACACCACTGCTACAGATTAAAAAAATCAATAAAATAATTGATTCATTATAGCTGTTTCCACATGTTTACACGGCTTGCCAAGAGAAGGAAGCAGAAGTTTAACAAAACAAACATTTCAACATTATTATCACGCTTCCGAAGCCACACATGTGCTTCCACACAACAGCTGCTCTCTCCTGACGCGCCGACAGAGGAAACTCTACATGACAGACAGACAGATAGATAGACAACTCAGTGACAGCTGGATGGAAAGGTAGGGAGCAACAGATATGGTTTCATAGCAGAATGCAAATTGCTCACATCCATCCTCAGCGATGGTTCGACTTCCCAAAATTACACTGTACACTTCGCGGCAGGTTTCACACACTGCCTGAAATATTAAGCTTCCTGGAAAGCTTGAGAAGACAAATGAAAGCAATTTAAATTAAAATCTCTCCGGACCGTCAGAAGATTTACAGTTTGAAGGAAATATTAGGACGAATTAAAACTTAATGTGTGGTGGTTTGACTGATTCCTGGCTTTAATATGAATGGATCATTTTCAGGTTTCGGAGCAGAAGAATCCAACCTCGTTTCATGTTTCACAGAAAAAATACTTTATGTAAGTTTAAGTTTTTTTTCCTTTGTTTCGTAGAAACAGATTTCAAAGAAAATGAACCACAAATCTTTGAGAAACCTCCAGAAAACTGCGAAACAATCCCAGTTAAAAATGAATCTGCTTTGAGTTGCCTTTGATTCATAACAACCTGAACGTTTTTTTTTTATGCTGATTATTATTCTTGATGAATTTAATGTTGGCATTTGACAAAATGTAATGCTTAATGCTTGATTGGTAGTTGGTTATTTTATGTTTTGAATAATTTACTTTGAACTGCTTTATTGCTGAAAACTAAATCTGACTTCCATTTTGAATCAGAAATTAATATTAAAAAGAAGAAAACAAACAGACTTTGTGCTCATCTGCAGTAAACATTTTCATTCATACCACCTTATTTCATCATTCTTTGATGATTTGAAAAGTAAAGTGAATAAATATTGTCAGATCAAAAAAGTCGGAGTCAATGTTTCTGTTTAGTTTAAGAATTAAATAAAAGTGGAAGCAAATTACCATAATAGGTCTTTAAATAACGTATCATATTCTCCTTCTTAACATGACAAACATGTTGGAGACGTTGGAAGTCCAGCATAAATCCCACAGGATCCTCATAGCTGGAATATCTAAATACTTCTCCAGGATGATGACTGTAGAAAATGCCTCTGATTGGCATGTGGAGGGATGTGTCACTAGAGTTATTTTGCAGTCTGCCAGAAGTTGTCAGTCAGATTTTGTCACTCCAGTTTCCAGCACCTGAAAACAAACACCCAGAGCTGCTCCGCATATATATTCATCTCCCTAATTTGTCAACACGCGATGTTTGGAAGAATTTGAAGGAAAACATCAAGTAAACACGAGGCCACTGCTTCAGACATAAAGAGATCTTATTTTCTTTTCGCAGTTTGAATTCTCGATTAACATCTTTCACACCCCCCGAGAAGAGTGATGATCGCACACCGCCCTGTTTTTAACCCGCTCAGCGACACGCGGGGGACGGCTTTCACCCGGGGTAAACTCAGCCTCGTGGGAGCGCGTCCTGCCATCTTCTGCGGAGCATGGCGGCTGCAACGCTTTGAGTGACTCACCAACAAGCAGGCTGACAGGCAGACTCGGAGCGCCCACACCCAGACTGGTGACAGCAGCCACCGCCACCGTGTACTGGACATCGGGGAGCAGACCCGTCAGCAGGATGGACAGAACGGAACCGTCCACCGTTCGGTTTATCTGACTCGCCGCGTCGCTGGACAAACACCAGACCTGAGAAGAGACGGAGATGAGCAGGAGTTAACGTTTCCTTCAGTGCGAGACGAGGCGGCTCTGGTCATGACTGGTTTGAAAAAAACACACAAGAAGGAAAAAAAGGACGTAACTTTTAACTCTGAGATTTTTGTGCTTTGATATATGGATAGAGTAGAGAAATTTTGAAGCTGTAAATGTGGAAGTTCTAGGTCAACAAATGACTAAACCTTCCCAGATTAAAGCTGCGATATGTAACTTATATGAAAAAAAAGGACAAGTTTTCTTACTTATTCGTTAAAACGATTTAACATGAAACAGATAAATCAAGTTCCTGTGCCTTCTCCCTGATATCCTGCTGCCATCTGCAGAAACATACCACTTCATCTGAAACTACCAATCAGAGCCAGGAGGAGGGTCTTAGCGCTGTCAATCAACCCATGTATGTGCTATGACCCCCCACAATGCCTAACTACAAACACTAAAAAAAACTTTAAATAGCTCTTCTTCCACATCGCAGTTGTACGCTACCTTGTGTTAATCTATCACATAAACCAAAAACATCCGTGGGGATTTAATTGGGATTTTAAGAGTGACAAAATGGAAAAGCTAAAATGGTGTGTATACTTTTACAAGGGTACATTTCAACCAATTCTCTTTTATATTCACCCTAATCAAGCTCTTTGAATTGAAACCACAACTTAGCTTGAAGAATCCAGAATCAAAACAGAAAATCTCTTCCATAGTGATATTATTTAAACTACAGCTGATAAGGACTCATTCTAACTGCAAAATATCTTATTTGACAGGGAAAAAAAATATAGAAAGAATATAAAGGCTTTCCATCCCGCCTTTGTAAATTAATCAGCCCTAATTTTGTCATGCAAATTTTTATCAGTAACATAGCGACCGCAACTCCGATTCTTTCCAGGTTCTGCTATATATAATCTGCATGTCTGTCTCCATTGATATTCAGGAAGCGACTCTTTCATTAATTAACCTTTTACAAACTTCTGCGATGAAGTCGCTGAAGGTTATAATGAACATCTGTGCCGCAACACCCAGCTATCTGTTTAGGACGCGGTGCTTTTTTATATTTACGGCTTTGATTAACAAATGCAGCACATGGTTCCTTGGAAATGAGAAACTTTACGAGATTTGGTTTGATCCCTGCCTTCTGCTGCTGGACATTGAAATGATCTGCCTTCTGTTTGTTTCTACGTTTACCCGCAGATGGAAAGAATACGTCAAAAAATGATAGAGTTGAACTTTTTCCTGGATTAGCAGCCTGGTGATTAGTAATCAGTGTTGTGCTAATGCTAATGGACAGACAATCAGGACTGTTTTTTTCTCTCTCTCTCTCTACGCCCAGGAAACAGATGACAGGAACAGTAAGTGTTTAGCAGACAAACTGATGACAAAACAAGAACTGGCAGCACACGAGCAGCAAAAGAGTCATTACTAATTGTTAATTACAAATCAGTGTTTTTCACATCGATCTCAACAACAGCTCTGTACACCTCTGACTAAAGCCTGAGGGGAAAAAAACAAAACAAATATATACAAACATCAAAGAGCAAAAAGACCAGTTTTTCTGTTTCGGTTGGTTTTGCGAGTCTGATGCCTCCATCACACCCTTAGCTTTGCATGAGAAACACTCTGACATATTCTACATGTCAGATAATCGAACACAGGTGACGTGACCTGAAGCTAAGCTAAGCTAATTTTGTGGACATTTGGAAGGGTTTGGTGCTCTAATCAGCACAATAAAGAGATGCTGTATAGATGTACAATGGCAAAAACCTTTTTTGTACAATGAATCTAAAAAACATGTTGCAGAGAACACTAGATTTAGTCATTCATGCTACGCTATGCAGACACTCTGTCTGGACCGATGAAGAGTTTCTCCCGCAAGCATGCTGACAGGTTGAGGTGGCCGTCACAGCAGGACGATTTTGCCCTGTTTTATATTTTCCTTATTCACCTTTGCACACTTGTACATGTTGCTTGCTAAATAAATATTTAGCTTCCACTGAAATAGTTAGCTCGCTATTTAAATATTTAGCTTGGAGTTAAATATGTAAGTCCAAGCTAAATATCTAATATTTAGCTTCTAATCTAAATATTAGATATTTAGTTTGAAGCTAAATATCTAATATTTAGCTTCAAACTAAATATTTAGCCACAAAGTAAATATTTAACTTGCTAGCTAAATACTTCATTTTGCGCTAAACACTAAATTGGAGCTAAATATTTAGCTTGTTAACTAAATATTTAGTTAGTTTGGAGCTAAGCTAAATCTTTAGCCACTTACTAAACAAACTGCTTGCTAACCAGTCTTTTTGTTTAGCTTGCTAACCAAATATTTAACTTAAAACTAAATATTTAGCTAACATATTTCGACTGGCGCTAAAGATTTAAGTAACAAGCTAGCATTTTAACAGGACTCTGCAGGGGTTTTGTTCTAGTTGCTCTTCTGAAAAGGTTCCATCTGTGTAATGCATATTTGTCTTGTCTTGTTAGTGTAAGCTGCTAACCCTAGCAGCCCCACCAGTGTTAGCTTCCTCTAACTTGTAAGGTTTTGTAAGCTATGTATCCTTTTAATGCCACTTAACAGAAATGTACTACTTGGTGTTGATCTGTTACATAGCGTCTGAATAACATCCATTGAAGTCCGTGGTTGTAATGTGACAGATCTTTGGTAAAAGTGAAAGAGTATGTTTAAATTTGAAATGCTCTATCTGTCACAAGACAGCAACTTGAAGGTTTTCAAAGCAAAGCATTGACCCACCTTGTACTCTAGGATGACTCCAGTCTGAACGTTGTGAGGCGGTGGTTCCCAGGAGACGCTGATACTTGAGCTATTGGTGAGCTGCACCACTGAAACAGCCTGCGGAGGGCCACTTAAAACTAGAAAGAGGAGAAAATATTGAACTGAAACGGGTGAACAAGTGTTAGGTGACAGCAATATATCTACAAGTCCATGTTTCTGCATGATTTCCAACACAGTCCTGGAAATAGCTCATGTAATCTGTTGCATTGTTGGTAACGTCATACCCTCCTCAGGGGTCCGGACCAGAACCATGAGACTGTCGTGGCCCTGCAGCTCATTGAAGTAGGGCCGTATCTTGACTTCATACTCCTTCTTGCTCTGGAGATCTGCTAACGTTGCGCTGTAGTCGGATGTCGCCTCCACATCTCGGACCAGCCAGGAGCCTCCGATGACCCGGAAAAACACGCGATAACCCTGGATGTACCGGGACTGACGGGCGACCTGGAAAGAGTCGGCAGGAAACAAACGAGCACGTCAGCCGCCTTCCAGCAGTATCAGGGCTTCCGCAGGTCCAGTTTGTTTCATGCACTGTGTGAGGGTGCTGCTGCAGCTAATGAATGAGGACCAGCGTTGCCTTTCACCACTTCGGTAATTGAAACATCTCCAGCCACGAAGTGAACTCACAGTCCAAGAAATCCTGGCACTGGTGGGAGAAAGAACCACGGGCTTCTGCAGGTAGATGGAAACCTCCCCCAGCTCTCTCTGAACTTGCCTGTGGTCCACGCCCTGCTCTGTTGGACTCCCATCTGACACCACAAAGAAATGAGATAAAGCCAGAAAAAAAACACATTAAAAATAATCAAAGCACAGCTGAGCGGCAGCCATTCAGCAATAAATGAAGGAAAGAAAAAAAAAAAAAGAGACGAACTTGAAATTCAACATTGCTCAGGGCAGAAAAGCTCCACGCTGCGAAAGCAATTAGTTATGACACTGTACTTGGAAAAAACAACTTCTTAAAAGAGCACGGCACATTATCTCTACATCCACTATCTTTGTTTTTCTTTAAATATGCAAAAATGGGAGTGCACAGTGAGGGAAATGGACATGTGTGAAAAGGATTTACTAAGAAAGTGCAAACACTCCTGTTTTACAGGAAATGCAGGCTATTTGAGATCAATGCAACATCTTTCCTGCACATTTTAATTGAAAAATAAATACATCTGTTACAAAAAAGAAAAAAAACATGTTCTACAATAACTGTGCAGATTCTTAAGTAATCTTAAATTTCAGCATTCAATCTGGTCCTGGTGACAGAGTCACTGTCAGATTCAGTTCTGGACTTTGGATAGACCAATCCGAAACTAAAATGCTCCTAACCCAAACCCAATAGTTAGATGAATAAATGTTTCTATTTTCTTTGTGCCTCCCTATATTTTTTTTTGTTTGTATTTTTCTTACTGGCCTGCTCTTGCCACCCTGGGGAAAACCTTCAGGGGGCGCCACTGTTTGTAGGAAGTAATGTTGACGCAGGAAAATAAAACTGCCTTCCACCTGGAAGTTTTAATTTTAAAATGATGAATATTTAGGAACGTTATTGGAGTCAATACCCAATAATGAAGGAAACATCAGCTCACAGATCACACATCCACCCCCATGTGTCCCTGAGGCTCATTTGGTGATGTGGTATCTGTACTTTTTTTTGTTAAGCATGCTCTTTATGCCCGTCGTTTAAATCAGGTTTCATCAGAGCACAACACATTCACCTACCCAGTTTTGGAACCTGTTGTCTGACCTCGATGTTTTATGTGGAACAAAAGACTTTCTGCCTAGCAACTCGGCTCCTTACTCCAGATCCTTGGTGAAAACAGGAGCTTGTTGTCAAAAGTAGCGCAGAGCTGCGACTTCCACAAACCTCGTCTCTTTTATTGTTGTTGTTGTCGGCCTCTTGGCAGCCTCCCTCTCCGGTTTCATTCTGATATTATCATTTTCAGACAAACGACCAGTTAATATCAATCGATTATTCGTACTGCTGATTAGTTTAATTCAACAAAGGAGTTTATTTCTGATGAGGAATGAAACAGGCACGAAGGGTATTATTTTTAAAAATAACAAGGATGATCATTTCTCTTGTGTTTTTGCATATTTTAACCAAATGATAATGTCAAACGTTATTCACATCCTTTTCAATCAGTAGAAAGCTTTAAATTGCACTATAGTACTCAAACCCTTCCTACAGCTGCTGGCCTGCATTTTGTATTTTTCCACTAATCTTTAGGTCATTTTCTGAAATCCTAATTTCATCATCGACCAAATTTTATTTTCTTCAAAGAGCTCTTTCAAGTTGTGAGATGATGTCCAGGCAAAATACAAATATCAGATCAAGCATAAATTTTATTGGTATATTTTTGTGCCCTTCTTCTGACTGATACATTTGCACAGCAAGCTCCTTTTTGATCTTTGCTCTTCCTTTGAACCAAAAAACATTTGTCAGCAATTGAACAGAAGACTTTACTTGTCCTTCATTAGATCATCTATATTTTAGAGCACTGAAGAGAAGTAAATGCTGCGATTACATCAACAAGCGCTCCAGTGTAGATAGTTTGGGAGTACATACTTATGTCACTACTGTGATGCAGTTTTTTATTATACTGGAGTTGTGCAGGATACAAATTGTAAGAAAAACAAACAACAAAACAAACCGTGAAGATAATTTACAACACTGGCGTTGTTTTACATCCCAATAACTCTGCATTTAATCAGGTGTGTGCAGATCGGCGAGAACCTCTGAGCAGAACTCACCCTGAGTCCGGACCGGCTCAGAGATCGGACTGGGGTCGCTGAGGCCGTAGGAGTTGAGGGCTCGGACTATGAACAGATAAACCGTGTTTGGGAAAAGTCCAACGACCGTGTGCCTCTCGTGCCTCACGTGGTCCGCAACGGTTTGCCAGGTGCTGCCCACCGATTGGCTGCGAGAGAGAAAAGAGCACAACGGGGAACAGGATTATTAAAACTTGTTTTTTAAATCGAAAAAAACATTAGCCTTTTCGATTACAGGCAAAAAGAAACTGTGAATGTGACTGGAATACTAATATGAATCCCTCCCATCCCAATCAGCAGGATGTTTTCCACCCAAAAAAAGAACACAGATAATCAAACAGGCTCTAATATCCTGGGTTTTTCAGCTTCTGTAATTTATCGTTTCATCTTGATTGACATGGGTTTGAGCGCAATGGTTAGTTCAGTGATCGCCGCCGATGATAGCACAGACGGATGAAATTGGAAAAGTCAGTGTCAGAAGGAGAGATCTGAAGTTCACATCCTGTAAAACTCATCCCAACAGATAAAAAAAAAGAAGAAGAAAACACTCAAATCTCACCAGGGTGAGACAGCTCAAAGCAATAAGTCAAGGTGATGGGGTGAATTAGTTCGAGTAAAGAATCGCTTTAGAAATGTCTAACAGAATTTCTTTCTCTGTTGGAGGGAATGATTGCTGTACTAGAAAATTATAAAACGTTAGAAAGAGACACTTGAAGAGCTGACAATAAATCCGTCAGTGAATGAAACATTATTATGTCGCTGTTATTTTTCTACCACACCAAACGTTGGCAACAACCAAAGTGATGCACGTGCAGGAAGATATATAAGCAAAATGACACGGAAGGCTAATATAATAACTAAAAATAGCCTGGATACAGTAGAGGATCCTGCGTCATGCAAAATAATTTTAGCAGGTGCTTAGTTAACATCTTCGCATTTTCTCACTTTGTCATTTTGCTTCATTAGGACTGTTGCGTGTTTGAATTTGTAGTTGTGTTTTATTGAATTGTTGAAGTGGTTTACACTTCACCGAAAACATGACTGAAACAAAATTTGACTTTCTAACTGGACAACTTGAAAGTTGGCCTCTGTCCCTTTAAGAAGCTCCTGCTCTTTCTGAAATATCACAACGCTTTTCATTGCACCATGTATTTTTTTTTTTTTTTTTGATGAGGGAATAACATTATAAGATGATACAAAGCTAAAAAGAGTCAACTTTCCATAATAACCACCTTTAAGGACTCCATTCTCACAGTCTTGATTGTGTCACTTATGTCAAAAGAGTCTAATTTGTGTACCGGCTTATAGAAGTACCAGAAATGTTCATGTTCTTCACAACTTTCAACTGGTCCTCCCACTTCTTTAGCTCCTTTAAAATGAGCAGCTCAATCTTTGCCAGGTTACATCCAGCCCTTGTCCTTATTCAGCTCAGATAAATATGTTGAAAACTCCAGTTGTTTAGCCCAAAGGTCTCTTTCCAATTTAGCCAGGAAAAGAAAAAAGCCAAGACTGATTAATAATTATTCCACCAAAACAACCCTTTAGCCACATTCACATTGCTAAGACAAAAGGCATAGTTGCTTTCTCTCTGCCTCTTAAATCAAAATGTGCCTGAGGGGAAGCAAAAATAATTGTTCATTTGCCTTAACCAGCAGGCAGAAGGAATCGGCATCTTAAAAACTCAAACAACACGGTACGACTTGACTTGTTTGTTTCTTCAGTGCGCTGACTTTTCCGTCATTTCCCAGCAAGAACGTGAGCAAAACCTGCACATTCTTTAAGAAGTTCCTACTGAATGAGCAAGCAGATGAGTTAAAAAGTTCAACACCGGCTTCTCGAAACTTTGAGATTTATTTATTTATTTTTTATCTACAGCGCATGCGGCAGGTCTCGGCTTGCAGACAAAGTTTTATTCTCTCCTTTATTGCAGCAGGTTGGCTCATGAAGGAGCCAGTCGAGGAAACGGCAGTTTGGTGCCGTGGAAAAATACAGGTGCTATCAAACAGCGCGGCAGTGTTTCACATCTGTCTCAACTCTGTGGAGAGGAAAATAGTGAGGCAATTACAACAAGCAGCTCACCGCTTTTTTCTCCCCTCCTTATCAACAGGGGCTTTTTTTTCCTCACCAAAAGTTCTGCCATTTAAAGTGTCCAGCTGAAGCTCTAAAACTGGCTTGTAAGTGGCAACATTGGTTGCTTTCCTGAAAAACTCAACCATTTCTATTTTCTTTCCAAAAAGACATTATTATTGAATTAATCCATTTCAAAATTCCCAATTTACTAGAAGAGGTGGCTTTCGTGCTTTAAAAAAAGAGAAACCCACACTAATATTCCATTAAAGAAATATTTAATAAAAACAGACTTTACTTGTTTTATGACAAGAATCAAAAGTAATACACAGACTTTGTAGGTCTTGTAATTTTTTATATTAAAGAATACAATGGAAATTATTGCTTCTTTTCGCATCCACATTGATGAAATCCATCAAAATTTATTTGCAAAGTAAATTTCTAACAGTTTCATGTCAACAAAGAACAGCTTTGAAACATGTTTTGTGCAGAGAAGGCTGGAAAAGCAAGAGATGCTTCAACTTATGATTTACATTATAGATTACTAGGAAGTGGTTTGATTTTACTAAAATGTGGCTTCAGACTTTTGTTGGATGTAAATTAAAAGATGATGGGCCATGCTTATATTTCACATAAGACAACAAATGCTGTTGCATGCAGGCTTTAAGGGAATGTATATCATTTACGCTAGACTAGGAAATGTTCAGAATGAGATGGCCTAGATGATGGCAGTATGTGAAGAGCTAAAGGGAAACCAGTAGTCATCCCTGCGGTACACCGAAACTTTTTCAGAAGCTTTGTGAACTTATTAGTAATGGTTCTCTTCTGGTTACAGATGTCATTGGTGGAAAAAGCGAATGAAATTAAACCAGACGTGGACGTCAACACAAAAGTCTCTTCTATTGAAGACCTTGAAAATCTACTGTAACAATACATTTCATCTTCACTTTGAGTATGAAAATGTGTCCACCTATATACAATTTTCATCCCAATGTGCCATCTTTCCACTGCTATTGCTCACAAGCCTTTGAAGCTTACCTTCGAAGATGCTTAATCAGTAAGAGCGTGCACAAAGGGTTCGTTTAAGTATGAGCATTAAAAGAAAATGGAGGAGAGTCCTTGAAAGTAACCTGTGGCTGTGAAAATACAGGCAGCATCCCAGAAAAACAAGCCTTTACAAACCAGTTTCTCTGTGCTGAAGCGTGCAGGAGTGGATGCATCCATCACTAACTGAATCGTTTTTCGCCGCCAGGAGAAATGTACATATGTGTGTGTGTGTGTGTCTGTGTGTGTGTGTGTGTGTGTGTGTGTGCGTGTGTGTGTGTGTGTGTGTGTGTGTGTGTGTGTGCCTGCACTCTGTATTCTCTGTCTTGTCACTGTAATGAGTGAACTCCCTGGCTTGGCATGCATACCCTCTCTGGATTGCCCCAGGTCAGGACAGAGCTGCCAATCTGACCTCCGCAGTAATTGTCTGCTCCTTCGTTCCCTCTCTGCCTTTCTGCAGCCCCTCCGGTTGGTTGTTAGAGCTGCTTCGGCTTTCCCCAGGACACCGTGGCTAAACACTGGGGCAGCGAGTGTCACACTTCCTTTCCCCCCCCAACATAACTTAACAGAACTGCTTCCCCCTTGGGCTGAGATGAGTAATTTCCCAAACTCTTAATGGCTCAGAATGAAGGAGACTTCATTATCGCAGAGCAGCAAGTCAGAAAATCGGAGCCGGAAGAAAAAGCGAAGGCTTAACTTGAAGAGACAAGAAATCATCTTTGAAAAAAAGACACAACAGCACAAAAAAAAATAATCGTTGACTTTTTTTTGTTGTACGCTGCTTGTGTTTAGCGCTCTTTGCATTGCATTTTCTGCACCACTGCACAATGCAAGTAGACTCACCAGGATAATTAATGTCCCTTTGTTTTATCAGCATTTCATTATAGACATAAAGCTCTGAGTGCACAATTAAACCTCAACTCAGAATCTGCATAAAAGTAACAAAAGCCTTGAACATCCATCACCCTGTTAGCGGATGTAAAGACGAGGGCCCTCTCTCAATCTAACCAGAGTAGGAAAAGTTTCCTTTTTGCAAAAAGTGCATTAAGTATGAATCAAATTCAAAGGAAAGTGTGAAGATAAATCAAATAATAGCAAGTTGCTATGTGAAATTCAAATTGCTTTCTAAGGAGTCTTAGCTATTCTGTTAAATTTAAAGATCACACAGCGGTTTCTTTCAAATGAACGGCTGCAACAACTGAATCGACCGACCGCACTGTCACTGTCAGGTCAGCAACGCTTATGTTTTACACCAACAATAAGTCTTTGCTGTTGTTATTTTTTCAGTGGAAGGGTGAAAAGTATGGCGACGTCTAATATAAGGACGTCCCAATGTCAGTAGACCAAAGTCCTTCAACTTTTGACACTTCTTTTTATTAAACTATATAATAAGAGGGCAATATCTTATTGACTGCCGACTGGTGGCAATGTTTTACTGATTCTTATTCAAACATTGTGGCAGGGAGGTATTTTAATTAAATACCATCAAATTTAACAAAATAATAAAAAAACAGCAAGACCGAACAAAACAGATTAAAAGCGCATTTATCTGCAGGGTAGCTTGGAGTTCAGGAATAACCTCCGACGCTGAAAGTCTCGTTTCTGCTTTCAAACTCTTACCTAAAAGCCTCGATGACGTAGGAGGTGACGGCATCTCCGCCTTCGTGAGGATTGGACTGCCACGTCAGAGTGACGGTGCTCTTGGTCACCTCGGTAACCACGGGTTTCTGCGGCGGCCCTGGAAGCTGGATGAACTCAGACGCTCTGGATCCCGAAGAGGCTCCTTCCTCTGCGACACAGAAACATGACCCTGGCTTGGAGCTCCCGTACGGCTGAGACCGGCGCGGATTCTCTCGCGTTGAGTCAACAGACGGCGCTCTCGGAAAGACGGCGGATGAAGTGTGTGAAGAGTAAGAGAGTGTTTCGGCAAAACGTACCTCTGACAGTCAACATCCCGCTCCAGCTGGATTCCCCCGTGGGACTGGACGCCACGCACGTGTACATCCCAGAGTCGGCGTCCTGTCAAAGAAAAGACCAAAGAGTTGACTCTATTTGTCTCTTTTTAGAGTTTCGCTTATTTTTTGACCCTTCAGGTGAAAACGATTAATCAAATTAACCCCGATCAACCGACTGTCGAAAGACTTTTCAGTCAATTCAGTTATCGATTAATCGTTAACTGGACTATGGAGTTAGAACTGTGGAAATTAAATGTAATATATTTTGTGCTTTTTTTCCATTCAGAATTTCCTAAAACAGTTGTTTTTTTTCCCCTGACTGACACAACAGCTAATATAATTAGCAATGTTTATTTGGGAGATCACTTGTGCTCAAGCTTTCACTTCCTGTCTGGTAACTTGAGATGTTCCTTTAGTGTTGTCCATATGTTTTGTCTTCGTGCTGCCATCATGTTGTGAAGTGCAGCCGTCCCTCTTGCAGCAAAACGCCCCCACAACACGATGCCGCCACCCTCTATTTCACAGTTGGGATGGTGTTCTCGGGCTTGCAGGCTTCCCACTTTATCTTCCAAATGTAACAATTGTTTTGGCTTAAATACTCCGACTTCGCGCATGTCAGCCCACATGACACGTCTACCAAAGTGAAGTTTTTGTCTCTGAGCGCATTGCATGCTGACTTCAGAGGAACAGCTTTGTGTTTTCATTTTGACGCTCTCCTACCAGATTCAGATTCAGTAAGCATCTTTATCAGATCGGTAGTTAAACCTGGAATAATAGTTTTTCAAAATGTTGTCAAAACTAGTTTAGTTTTAAACTGGAATTCACAAGAAATACAAAGATTGTGCACCCAAATCTTTTTTTTTCTTTAGAAATGATTGCAGCTTTATAACTCAAAAAATAACGATACAGCAAAATTAAAAGCATGAAATTCAGAAACCTTGATGTGAATTTTTGTTTTCCTTTGCAGACCTCTGACAGGAACTAAAACAATAATAATAATAATAATAATAATAATAATTTTTACAGAGAATGCTGCACATCAGCCTCTAATTCTGCTATTCTGCAAAAAGTCACAGTGTGATCTGGTTCAAAGCATTTTTTGTGAGGATTGTATCATATTTTTTCCATCACAAAAGAAAAAGTGTTATTCTGAAACAATTGCTCCCAGTTTTATTTTGCGGATTACCTTTTCTAGTGCATAATTAGAAGCAGTGTATCCCCTCACAGAAATCAGTGTTTCTTTGTGAAACAAATAGACCGTCTCCTCTTAAAAACAGCAATTATGCTAATTTCTAGAATCAACATTAAAATTAATTCGTTCCTAGTTTGGAGTCAGAAAACAAGCTTTTCCTTGAAACAGACGTTTATTTTATATGTAAAGAAATAAAAAAAGTGACTATTCCTTGTTCCTTGTAAACCTTTGCTGGCTTATTTGTTTGTTTTGTCACTAAGAGCTAAAGCAGTGAGAATCCGTCAGAGCAGCACCACCGCAGCCTGTGGAAACAAAGCAGAGAGGAGCTGAAACACATCAGAAAGCCCAGCAGAGTTCAGGGCGATTGCGGCGCAGGGAGATAATTCTGGATAGGTATGCGGCTGCCAACATGCCACTCTCTGCAGGCACAGGCCAGCGATCCGCTGCTGGGAGAAGCACTGCAGTCTCCAGCAGTTTTAGGTGCGGCGCTCTGCAAACGTAAACGCGCCCGCAGTCGTTTATGGCTCTCTGTTAGGAACGGACGCGTTGCTCTAATGCCACAAAATGTTAGAAAAAGTAAAAAAAAAAAAAAAAAGGGTATGATTACTTTCGCAAGCCACTAACTCGGCTTGCGAATAATGATAATGGAGAATCTCATTGACTCACGTGTGAATATTTCTCACAGACAAAAGAAAACCAATTATATTTGGTTTTGCTCTGTTCACCTTCACTCTATAACTTGAGTATATTTACTTTAAATCATTTTTTATGTCATATCATTTAAATTGCCCTTCTTTGTGCCCTATAATACAAATTCAGTCAGTTCAAATAACTTTTCAGTCAGTCAGTGCTGCTTTTCCAATATTGATTTCACTACAGAAACACAAACTTTTACCACATATTTCATGCCTAGTTTCTGGTTGTAAATATCTTAGTAGGTCTGAAAGTTCAAGTGACTTTCCAGCAAGAAATGGGAGCCTGTTTTAAATAATATGAATGTTATTCATATGAATAAAAATGCACTAGTTCCACTGGCAGATTGTTTCGCTCATAAGACATTTTTCACATGTGATAAGAGAAATAAAACTGGTACTTTGTAGTAAATATTAAAGAATTGCTGACTCAAAACAAGCTCCTATTTCTGGCTGGGAAGTTACTCATAAGTTAGGTTTGTCGTATTTCAAAACGTACTAAGATATTTACACTAGAAACTAGACAGTTGAATCTTCTGGGTTCACATAATCACTTCAAGTTTATCGTTGCACCTACCAAGCACGGCTCGTTATTTTTGGTGGATAATTATTCCAAGTATGTGCAGCGGAAGGCAGATAGAGATTTATAATTAATCACCTGTTTTGCGAACAGGAGCCAGAGGTTTGAGGTCGTGTGTGCAGCTGTTTTCATTTTATGACACATTTTGAATGAAAGAGTCATATGGAAAAATAAATACAAGCAAAATGTGTAACTTCATGTTTCAGTTACAGTTTTTGTTGTTTTATGAACATTTTAAAAGACAATAGCACTTTGATACAGGCTTTCCTGACCACATACAGTTTTTATTTATTTCTACTGCATTTTTTTGTTGTTGAAATTGCATTTATGTTTTAAATATAGATATTGTGTAGCAGACCCCCATGTATCCAAATGAAGGATTGTGGCTTCACTGTTAAACAGTGAGATTTATTGGAAGTAATCCCTGAGTTTCACCATAACAGCTCTATGTACAAAGGAAATTACACCAAAAATATCGAAAACGACACCCTAGTTTTTCATTACAACAAAACAAATTCACAATTTCAATCAATCAACATTAGAAACATCCTGATTTACGAAACAAACAAACCTTGTGCCTCTATCAAGGTGGGGGCTAAAAATAAGATACATTTTTATAACGCTGTTGCAACTTGTCTTCCGTCCTCTTTTGTCATTAAGCTGCTGGATAATATAAACAGCGGAAGCTCTCTTATCAAAATAAAAGCATCAAATCGAAAAACCGGAAGTCAACCATATATTATACAAAATAAAATGAAATAAAGGCAATAAGCACGAAAGAGGGAATACAAGAAATGAGGAGCTTTACTTGGTCTTATTTACATATAGTGTTTGTTTTGTGGGACTTCAAATGGAAATTAACACTTTGCTAAGTTCGGTATATTTCTGGCAATTCTGTATGTTCACTAATATGAGCTGTCCCATTCACAAGATGTGCTTGAGGAATTTGTTTTTAATTTTTTTTTTTTGGAACATACAGAACGTGCATGTGTATTGCACATTGAAACAAAACAACAACAATCTACAATATTCTTATCAGTGCAGTGTAGGAAATACTAATCCGAGTGCTTTTCAACCTCACTTATTCTCCCCTCTCATCACGAAGAATCACAGATGATTCTCTCCGTTCCTCTCTCTCCGCTCCAACTTCAGAGCCCCCAACACTAACCAGCCTGCCTGTTCGCATCATGAGCTGCACGGCTCTTCACAGTCGAGCGGCGCTCGTGGCGTTTCTCCGTGTACTGGCCGGGAGCCAGTCTGCTGGAACCGCCGTCGGACCATATGAGATCACCCTCCGCAGCGCTGACCTCTGGCTGACAGACAGCGCAGCGTGCGGCAGCAGGTGAACTTTTTTAGGTGACTCCAACTACTACTAAAATATTGATGCGCTCGTAGGGGCCATGAGCAGGGTGAATATTTTTAGGTGATCTCTCTTTCTCTCTCTCTCTCTCTTCGTCATCTCCGTTCCCCTCTCTTTTTTCTCCCCACCCTCTCTCGACACCGCACTAATGCATCTCTTCTGTTCCATTGAGCACATTGGCGTGGCACATTCCTCCTGCCTCGGCGGTGCACCGGGCCACGGCTTAATGCTCCCACTTCCACTGCTGAGAAACAGGGCGGTAGCCGAATGAGCCTCGAGATCTGATCAAAAGCCAGTTTCGATGATTAATCGGCTATCGATTAATGAGACCGATTCCGTTTATTCTCTTTTTTTTTGCGTACGCTCCCAGGGAGACAAAAACGAGGGGCGTGGTGGGGGCTTCTGACTCCTCTTCCATCAACGGAGAGCACATTAGCATTTATAAACAAGCGCCTTCATTAACATCACAATTACACACCAAGTTGGCACATAATTGTGCCGCCTTGGTGCAGCTGGTCTTTGAAATCCTGCCTCACCTTAATTCTGCCCTGGAAAATGGAGTTTCTGATGGAAATGAGATAAAATTCTGTCACTGGGTGGGCTGCAGGGAGCGGGGACAGCAGGTCACAGATGAGACACTCTATTATTCTTTAGAATTTTTTTTTTTTGTAGCTTCTATCACCGTTTTGCTCTGTCGAAGATGGGACAGACTTAAAAAGAATCCTTTTCAATCCCCCTTCCCTCCTTTTGAATGAAAGCGACCACCACACACACACGCACCCCCCCCCCCCTCACACCCCCCCCCCACACACACACGCAGATATACACACCTTTAGATCTGCAATTTGCAACGTGCCGTTCTCCATCAAGGTCACTCGGGGTTTATTTCCCTGCAGCCTCTCTCCATCTTTCTCCCATGAGATCTTGACTGAGGTGCCTCCAACTAAGCGGCAGTGCAGCTGTGCCACGGCCCCCCGGGACACGGTCTGGTTGGCCGGACCCTGCCGGATGATCGGTGGGATACGACCCGAAGGCCCTGGCAGTTTAAACGGAGAGGATGAAAAATAATTTAAAAAAAGCTATTTGCCCCCCGCCAAATTTATCTCTGTTTGCGGTCTTTTTCTTTTATCTCAGCTAAGTGCTGAAAATGCTCAACTCCTTTCAGAGTCAAACACAGTTAGAAAACACAAAATGAGGTTGTCAAATAAGGAGGAGAAGAAGTTTTCCCAAAGCAAAATGATTTCAAGTGAGTCAAAAAAAAAAAGAAATCCCCCTAAAACTAAAATCTACTTGTTCCCCCTTTGGAGATAACAGCTGCCGTCAGACCAGATTGCGACAGTCACTCTACCTCACTGTGAAGCCATTTCGTCCCTCCATTATCCACAATGGAGGGTTTCACAGTATTGCCGGTTTGCTTAAGGTCAAGCCACATCATTTTAATTGTCTGTAAACCCAGACTTTGACTTTGACTACGTCGCAAAAGACCTCTTTTTGTTGAGCTTTTAAGAGACGAACTTGCTCGTTCTCTCTGGATTATTGTCTTTCTGTATAACCCAGGTTATCTGTAGCTTAAGGTCACCAACTGAAGTCATGTCCTTCAGGGGTTTCTGCTGCAGGTCTGGCCCTTTCTTGCATGAGCACTGACCTTAACTGAGGCAATGAAGTCAGGTGTACTCTAGGGTTTGCTCTGGATGCTTTTTTAAACCTCCTGATGAGACACTGATGCACTCTATGAGAAACTTTGGTCCACTGACCAATGCTCAGACGGTTCATGTTTCCTCTATTTGAGGATAGAGTGACTCACTGGAGTTCATGAGCTTTTGCTAATCTTTTCATCCTATTTCTGTTCTCCTGTTCTCAAGAACCACTGAAAGAAACGACACAAAAAACCTCCAGAAAGAACCGAGCGCAACTTCACAAAATTTAAAAAGAATGAAGCAGAGTCACATTTTAGCGGTTGTAGGATTTCTCTTTCTTTTTTTCCCCCACAGTGAATATAATCTTCATTTAAAAACCAAATTTTGCATTGGCTTGGGTAATCATTAAAATAGCTTGATGATGAGCTTCACCATTTAGATGTAACAAAGGCAAAAGAAATAAAAACATAGATATGAGAGCAAACTGTTCATCACAGCACTATGTTTTAGTGGTGCTGTCTCTACTTAAAGCAGAAAATGAAGTACAAACACATTTGGAAGACTGAGGGAATGTAATTAGAAAGTTGCCAGCTGTAAAATGCACAAGAGGGAAAAAAAACGCTTCAGATGCAAACAGGTAGAGTTTAATGGGCTGCATAAAGAGGACAGAAGAAGACATAAATCTGCCGTTTACATGCCTGAAAAAGAACATTAGGTCTAGAATTCATCGCTCATCCCTGATGGGCCTCCAACTGTGCCCTCCCTTTATGAGCCCCTGTTGTTGTACACCTACTAAGTAATTAATGTGTTTACCTTATTAGCTGGTGGTGAAGAGCAAACCTTGTAATATGACCCTGTGGATCAAAGACGTACCTCCTTCCACCTCCAGCAGGGCCTTGGTCAGGACACTTCCTGCCACGCTGATGGCCTGGCAGACGTAGAAGCCCGAGTCCTCGGGGTGGACGTCCGCGATGATCAGCTCGCCGCTCATGGAAACGGAGTACCGACCGGACTGCGATGGTGGCTGACCAGGAAACAGCAGCATCTGAACACATCGATGCACAAGCCGAGTGAGGAAGATCTACTTAAGACGTAGGAGTGCCAAAGTTTATGAAAAAGCCAAAGGAACAGCAGAATCTGAAAACAATCTCCCTGTTTTTCCCCAGTGGATTTAATTGGCATTTAATTATGATAGATCAACAAAAAATCCACAGAGAGCCAAGGCTCAGTCAGATTTGGTGGAAACAACACGAATGTTGCCAGTTCTGCTTACGAATATCATCCCCAAAGCATGATGCTACCAACACCATGCTTCATTGTGGAAATAGTGAATTCAAGGTGATATAAAACATAGTTTTCTGCCTCCTGTAATGTCTCCTACATGCCCAGTAGCAAACTGCAAATACGACCTTTGATGGCTCTCCTCTTGCTCTCTCTTCCATTAGAGTCAGACTATTGGATTGAAAAATCACTGGTTGCCCCGTCAGCTGATTCTGCAGCTTCAGACTGATTTAAATCAGTTCTTTAGTCTCCATTATCCTGTTTGTTGGTGAAAGTTTTCCAGCAAACCTGCACAGAACAGCTGGATTCATGGTAAAAACTAACGTGCACTCAAATGAACTAATTGGTAATTAGGTGCTTTAGTTAGGTGACTTGTGAAGGCAACTGAAACTTGATTTTATTGTAGGGTCTTACTGCAAAGTGAGCAGAATATAAATGAACATTTATGCACATTTCTGAGATTCCACATTTAAAACTGCTTTTTTCATTTCTTCTACCTTTCCAAATAGATCGAGCCCAGCTCAATAACTGCAGCTTTTGCATCAGTAAAACCTGAACTACATTTCTCTACAGCAAAAAGTGTGATTAGCAAAACTTCTCCATCGTGGGGGAAAAAACAAAAAGGAATCTAAAGTTTTATTTCTCTAAAATCTAATAAATCAATGCAGCTTCAGCTCTTTTTGGTGAAGCTGGGCTTCATCAGGGAAACGTGTCTTTTGTTCCGTTGTGTGTGGAGTGTTGTGTGCCTGGTGCAAAAACCAAAAAAAAAAAAACTACAAAAAAAAAATAATAATAAATAAAATTTACGCAAGAATCAATGTAATTTTCTTTCCCTTTAGCCTTCAAAAAGCCTGACTAGTTTAAAGATTAAGTGGAATCAACGACTTGAATCTACCAATTAACTCTTCCTTTCTGTTGTGCACAATGCCCTGCACGGCGACGCGCATTCCCACATAAAACCCCCACAAATAAATCTAATTAAATCGGAGCAAATAACCAGAATGCAAGGTGTTTGTTGATGATGTCCCAGATGTCTTGTAGTTCTGTCATCCTGTTTTTCCGGATGTAAAACCAGGGGGGAAGGCATCCATTCATCCGACCACTTTATTCCTCTAAGAGGCTTAGATCTCGATAGATGGACCGAAGTTATAAGGTGACAGATAATCCTCCAAATAGAGTGAAAGAAAAAAAAACAAACAGCCAGCACAACCGTAACAGGAAGCAGGCATGTGTATTCGCTGATACTGCGTGGGGACAAATAAAAAAGAAAAAAAGCGAGCTGCATAAGCCTGTGCTTGGACTCGGTGCAGGTAGCTGCTAATTGAGCAGAGCTGAATTTATAGTCGGGATAATGTGGAAGCAGAGCAGAGTTTGCCTTGAAGGAGCACTTTCAGCACCTGCTAAGCCCTCCTTCATTCTCCTGCTTTATTCGTCCAACTGCATCCGGATCAAATTCCTGCCCACAGGGGAGGAGAAGGAGAGCAGAGACTACGATGCTGAAAAAAATGAAGTTTCTCTTAATCCTCAGCTTTCCCGGTGGAGCCTCCGGTTTGGTGCCAGCACTGGCATGGAGATGATGATAATCCCCTCCGACTCGACAATGATCCTCATTCCAGGCCCAGAGCATGATGCTGCCTCCACCGGGCTTAAGTTTGGGGGTGTTGTCGTTCAGGTAATGCACTGTAAAATGTAATTAGTTCACTTTACTTAAAAAATGTTAGGAAACCGATTGCCTCAAAATCTCCAAATAAAGTAGCTAATTCATTTTAAGATGTTATAGCTATAAATAACTATGTTTAGACCACTCAGATAATGGCAGTAAACCTGCCATAATCAACAACTAACTGTGTATATATATATATATATATATATATATATATATATATATATATATATATATATATATATATATATATATATATACACAGTTAGTTGTTATATATAATATATATATATATATATATATATATATATATATATATATATATATATATATATATATATATATATATATATATATATATATATATATATATATATATACACACACACACACACACAGGCCTCCCCTGACTCTCTGCACCTTGAGTCTTCAAGTACTGTCATCATTTTTGGAAGGAAGTCTTGTCATGAATGACCTTGGAAATCTTCTTGCTCTTTGGACTTATTTATGCTCTGAATTTGGAGTACACTCAACAAGTACACCTTTGATTTCATCCAAAGGGTGGTTCTCTCACTTGGACATAAATTCCTAAAACCAAAAATACAATAACTCAAAAATCTTCTGATGCAATGAGTGAATGTGACGTGACATTATAGATCAACAAACAAAAAAAAAGGTTTGCACCAATAAATCTTCGCCTTGAATTGGAAAAACCTTTTATATCCACCGTGGAAGCTGTATTTTCCAGTAGGTTATCTCTGGCAGAAAGCTGCATGTGTAAAAACGTGTGCAACATTTGTCTTGAAAATTTGTTTTGAAGAGTGTGGGCAACTCAGAAAAAAAAGGTGTCAAGATGAAATATATATTTATAAATATAAATATAAAAACCTGCACATGTTTGGGTGAGTCATTCTCACCTTTGAAAGTGAGGCATGAAACTCTGTTGATGTGACAAACAACAAAGAGCTGGTAAAACTGTTCAGGCAGCTAACACCGACATGTAAAAAAAACAACAACTTGAAACTTTATGCTCACAAACGTCTTGCTCTCTGTTCCAGCCTCTTACCTGGCTGCCCTCTTTCTGCCAGAAGATGGCAGGTGGAGGGTTTCCTGTGGTGCCACATTGGAAGGTTATGCTCCTCCCTTGGGCGGCAATCTGGTCTCTGGGCTTTGCGGTAATCTGAGGAGGCACTGGAAGGAAAGGAAAACGGGAAGGCTTATAAAGAGCCTTAGTTCAGACAGAGAAAAAAAAAAAACGAGCCTTTTCTGATCACATCCTGGTGGATCAGCAGTCACAAAACGTTCATTCGTATTGATCGACTGGCCTGTCAGGGTAACAAGTTTTGATGGACGATAGTTTGTCCTAGAAATTCCTGCAACAAATGATAATGTTGTCATTTAGAGACCATGTTCAATTAATATAACAAAAATAAATAATAGTAATAGCATTAAGGCAACTACACAAACTCACACACTGAAAAAAAAAACTTTTAATTTCTAAAAGAACCAAAAATGGCAAAATGGCGGCTTTTAAACTGGGTTAAAGGGGAGTATCTCTGCTGTTGTCCAAATGGAAATTATTGCACACATTTTGATTTATTGTGTAATAAATTGATTTAACCGTTACTGTGACAGGCTTATGTATTGATAAAGTGATATGGTGACACACTGTTTTCAATAAACCACTGTTTAAAAAAAAAAAAAAAAAAAAAAGACAGACTGCTCTCTCCAGAAGGGAAAGAGTCCAATTATCTTGATGTCTTCTTCATGACTGATGGTAGGATGGATTGCAAGATGGATAAATGGATCGGGGCGCTTCGTCTGTCTGTAGTGGTAAACAGAAAACCGAGCCAAAAAGGCAGAGCACTCGAGCTAGCACTCTATCTGGAGATAGAGATCACAAGTGAAAAGACTTGAGCTGAAATGCTATTGGCTGAAATTGGCTTTTTTCATAGACTCAGCCTGGGAGATTGGAAAGGATTCCTGTCACAGTGGAAAAGCTTAGCTGCTGCTGCTGCTGCTGCTTTGCCTCAAAAAAGTCAACTCAGCTCGTGATGAGGGTATCTCCTCAGCGCTCGGCTTCAAATCTCATCTCATCTGGTCGAGAACAAAGAAGCGCGTCCGATCTCCAGTCAACCACGCGTCGCCAGTCGCGATTTCAAATATAGGCGAAGTGGGCAGATGCCCAGGGCGGCTTCTCCCTTAGGGCGGCCATAATAGTAAACCCCTTTGCAGTTAAGTCTGTAGATTATATCTTGCTTAAAAATTAATTATCCTTGCAACAGCTGTGCAAATTAATTTGTGTTTTTTAAGTGCAGTGGTGTAAAACATGTTTCTAAACATCAATGATGATGTTAATTGACAGTTGTGCAGTGAAATGTGTGTCTTGATCGAAATGCAACACATAATTATATCGATGTTTGACTTATGGTGCGATTTCATTCAATTGCATTGATTTCTTTGCCTCAAAAAGAAAAAGAAAGTATACAACAGAGTTGTATACTTCCAACTGGACTGTATTTGGTTGTTATCTGTGTTTATTGTATTTCATTATCCTTGTTTTTCCCACATTTTTTCAAATAAAATATTAATCATATTAATTTATTGGCCTATGGCCCCAAACAAATTAGGACCGCCCCTGTACGCCGCCCCTCCATTCGCCGGCCCTCCGTTCGCCGAGCTTCACTGGCTGCCACTAATTCAAGTCGATGTTGGCCTAAAAAGTTCCCCTCACTGTCATTATATCATAAATGTTTATTTGATGGGATTTTAGTTTTATTTCAAAGCGTTCGGTCTGAAAGCCGATTTACATAAACGTAAAGGATTAAAAATGGCTCCAGACGTATTAAGTCCCTCTCCATCACAGCTGTTTACTCTGATGCTAATCGATAAAACCCTCATTAGCTCTTAACAAGCTGAATGGAAGGATCTCTTTGCCCTTCTGAGCCGGTTTTGATCTATCTCCCCTCTCTCATCCGTCTCTGATCATTAATGAGAGAAATCACCTCAAGCTGAACTGAAGAAAAACAAACGGCAGGAAAAAATAAAACCCTGAGACGCGGCGGATCGACGCCAACCGCCGATGTCCTCGTGACATTTTCTTTCTGTCTTATTTTTGGAAAAAGTCTCAAAGAGCTCTCATTTTCCATCTGAGGTCAGATCGTTGCATTATCCAGGACGTCATCGCGTCCTCCGAGGCTCCACACTGACCGCTGCCCACTTCATCCAGCTGGATTGATTGGCTCGCAATTCTCACAAAACATGGAGCTTCTCCAGCCTGGATCCATCTGCTCTACGGTGCAGCATGCATGTGAGCACAAACGCAGAGTTGCCCATCTGCAATACCGAGGGGGGAAAAAACCCAAAACGCATCGAGTAACTTTAGTTTCTGCTGCAATTACATAAGCAACACTGGTCCAATTACATCAGCCTGACTAATAAACTATGTACTGACTTAAAGCTGCAGAATGTAGCTTTTATGAAAAAAATATGATTTTCACATACTTGCTGTCAGGAAGAAGCTGCATTGTAGTAGAGGACAAGAGGGGAGGGTGTGAGCAGCACCTTTACAGGCATGATTGACTTCACTAAGACCTTTCTCCTGGCTCTGATTCATTGTTTCTGACCAAACATGTATTTCTGCAGTAGAATCGCAGACAGAAGGCAGAGTAGCTTGATTTTCGTCTCAAGTTATACTAACAGAAACTTGTCCTCAATGATTAATCAAGAAGGACAAAAACCGCTTAGAAGAAGTGAGCTAGTGACTGGACTCCACCAATGTGGGCCGGACCCCATTACTTAAGTAATACAACTGAAAGTCAGCTGTTTTCAGTGTCGGTAAGATATCGACCACAAAAGCAGAGATGTATGTGTGAGCTGATTAAAAGGTAAACTGTATTTTCTCCGACCTTCACCAGACTCTCCGCAGGTGAGAGTGAAGGCTGAACGCACTTCGGTATCGTTGCTCTGTTTTGTTTCTTTTAGATTTCCGCCTCATTCACTCATGGACCATGCAGCATTTAAAACAAAATCTCAGAGTGAAGGTATGCATCGGCATTCTGTACATGCAGAGGCTGATGTTTCAGTGACGCGCCGCCTGTGCTAATCGCTAACAAAAGCAAGCGAAAGGCTGTGAACTCCAGCAAACACTTTCTCATGGTATAATAAGAGTAAAACCTGATTCACAGCAGCTGCGAAACCTGCATCTCCAATAGGTCATCTATAAATATTTGTGGCAGGAAGGTTGGAAAAAATATTCTGAATTATGTTCTGAAAGCTCTTTTTATCATAAAGGTCTTGAATATAAATCAGACTGCAGATCAGAGCGAGTTTTTTTTTTACTTTCAGCCCTAAAATTTTGATTACTGATTAAAATCCCAACGTACGCAACAAATATCAACACCACATGCACATCTAATCACAGGGCGAACACAGACACACACAGACGAGTGAATGACGATTCCTGCTGCGATGCAGTAGAGTTGATCAGAGAGCCACTGGGCGATCTGTTAATGGCTTTGCTAGTTAATTTATAACAGAATAAATGCACGTTATAAACTTTAAATCCTACAGGTTCAGCTAAAGAAACAGTAGTTCTTACTCCTTTTGCTTCACTCAGCCATGTTGAACCTTTTTTCACCATTTAAGATTCTCTATTTAGTCCTCTGCACGTTTTAATTAGTATTTTCTTCACTCAAATTGTGTTTTTCTCTTTATCGTCGCAGGGTATTCTACGATGCTCCCTAGCTATTGTGTTGTTTAGTTTTGTGACAGACCAGGGGGATTAAATCGCTTCCTTTCTCCGCTGTGGAGCTGAGGGGTTCACCGAGAGGTCACCGGGTTTTTCCCCTGACTGCAGTCGAGGCAAAGGCTTCAAAACAGTAGAAAAATGATGACGTGGATATCGATTCATGCGGCGTTTGTCGCTCGTGGTTTTTGTTTGTTTTGCTCACGTTTTGTCGTGTTACAATCAAAAACGTCCGTGAACAACAAAAATGACTGAAAAATTTGCAGGGTGGGATGAAAGGAAGTCGTCTATCCATCTTCCAGCTGTTCAGTTCAGACATCTGCTGGAGAGAATCAGTGAAAAAAACGGAACAAATCGCACAGGTTGGGAACAAAGATGATTAAGTTGTAAAGGAATTTTAAACTTCAACAGATTCAGTTCATGGTCATGTTGGGCAAAGAGGGAATTATTCAGAGAGGCAGCCAAGAGACGCATGGTGACTCTGGATGAGCTGCAGAGATCCATAGCCAGTGTTGGAGGACCGGTCACCGTCCTAGAAGAAAGCCTTCGCTTTCTTTCTTTCTTTCTTTTTTTCGCTTTCGCAAGAACATGTTTTACATATTTGTTGTAATGTAACAATAAGAGAATAATAATATGTGAAAAAAGATTGTTGTGAATTTTGTTGCCTTCTTGTATTTGTGTCGTTGAAGGTCTAAATAAAATCTAATCTAAATAAACATTAAGAAAAATCAAGAAGTCTTCTGCCTCCTCTCAGTGTTCCTGCTGCCATCTGCAGAAATTAACCAATCACTTGCAGAAGAAGGGATTTAGTACTGTCAATCAGGATTGTGTAGTTGCTGCTAAACTGCTAATGCCGGAGAAACAAATCGGCATTATAGAAAAACAGTTCATCCGCCGTCATCGGTAGCTATGCTAACTAGCCTGAGCATTCACAGCAGTGGCGGTTGTGGGCAGCAGCACATACACAAGAGTGATTGACTGCTCTAAGATCCTCCTCCAGGCTCTGATTGGTTGTTTCTGATTGAGCTGTGTATTTCTGCAGGGAGGGGGCAAAGGAGCCTGACTTTCTCCACAGATTATCTGTGTAAAAAAAATCAAGGTTGTCTCAAGTTAAGCTATTAAAACATCTTTTATATGTATATATGTATAGATATATTTAATATTTGTCAAAGGTTACATACTGAAGCAGTGAAGGGGGGGAAACCTGCTCGAGGCCACAGCAGACGTGAGGCGTTTAAGGTTGTGGCCGTAGAGCAAGAATTTGACAACGTTCCAGATCACAATCACTCCTGACCCGCATTTTAAAAGTTTTTCTTTTTTTTTTTGAGAATTGATTTATAAGCTTCTTTATTCTTTTGGTCACTCAAATGCTTTAATTTTCTTTTAAGGGGAAGCTCATGTTGCTTATATTTTAAATCCCGCACGCTTCTCTATCATAGTTTAAAGCAACACCACATCAAAGTAAAGCTATGTCATTATTTAACTCTGAGACATGGGTTGAGTTCTGATTAAAACACTTTTCAGCTCCACTTTCTGCTGCTTGTCGCTGCAACCCAAGGCAGGATTTGCATGGTGTCACATTATCCTGACACACTGCCTTGGACATGGCAGATGTGTGTAGAAGGAGTCCTTAATCTGGTGTTACACAGTCTGGGGCTTCCTTATGCCTTACTGCAGCAACACACAGGCTGTCAATGTGTCAGCACCTAATGGAGGGACTTATTTACACCATTAGGCACTGATTGTTGCTTTTAAAAACCATTAGGAATAAAAGATAGAAAATAACTTAAATTACCCAGAGACACAAATGTCCATTTCTTTTCTTTTTTTTCTCTTTCCTAGATAAGAATTAGATCTTGTAGAATGAGCGAAGTGGAATGATGACAGGGCTTGAAAAGTGATGGGTGTAGGGGAACAAAATAGGAATCTAATGAAATGGATGAAACACCGAGCCAGAAAATAAACACATGGAAAAGTGTTTACGGAAAAAAAAAGAGAGAGAGAAAGAAAAAGAGCAAGAAGGCTGGATGGAAAACTGTTGGGTTTGGATTTCATTCTCCGTGATAAAGGCTTTAGTGAATGAAGTCATCGCAACTATTCACTCGTCAAGACGCATGACGAGTGTGTGGGGAGAGAGAGAGGGCACTGAGAGTGAGGCGGAGGCAGAGGGGAGATAAGGAGACAGGAGGAGAGAGAGAAAGAGAGAGAGAAAGGGGGAGTCATGTCTTATTAATACTGTGACTGCTCTCTGGCAGTGAGTGAAAGTACACATCCATCAAACATCTGTCAAACAGCGTAATCCATACGGTTTAACATAAGCTGCTGGCACCGATGTCGGACCCACACAGATGCTCGCGTCTGAAAACACAGCAATCATCGGACAAAAAAAAAAAAAAAGAAACGGCAGCGGGATTTATATTAATACAGCCATCATGTGACCTCACGGCACCGGAGGCCCTGGATCGGGAGCTCCTTCAGCGCAGGCTCAAGTACGCGTCTTACTCGGTATGCGCGGCGCGTGCGCTCACCGTGGACCTGCAGCATGGCCGAGGCTTCCGTCTTGCCCACGCTGTTCTCAGATGTGCAGGTGTACGTCCCTTCATCCTGCGCCTTCACGCGGAACAAACGCAGGTTGTTGCTGTTGCGGATTTCAAACCTGGGAACGAAGCGAAAGCAAGATACAGGAAAGGCTAGCAGGGTGGACACACACACACACACAAAATAGATAAAATACTAACTGCACAAAGAGTAAAAAGCAATCTGCTGGTAGGACAAGATAAGATTCACGCCCCTTCCTGTCACTCAATCTGAAGCCATGATTTTCTTTCTTTTTTTTTTTTTGGATGAATTTTCTGGAAACAAATAAAATGTCCTGGAAAAGATGATAAATCAAGAAAAAAAGCAAGACTGAATCAGGCTTTATGATTAAAACAATTGCAATTGTGTTCAAATATACATTTAAACATCTGGCAATCACGGAGCATGCAGTGAGTTAACGAGGTCCATTTAGTGCATTTAAAGAAACGAGTTCAAATAGAATGAGATTAGACTGAAGATAATACGATAAAATATCCAAACAAAACTAAAGATGGTTTTACTTTTCCTTAAGTGATGCACATTGGAATATTTTAGATGTTTTTTTAATAGAAAAATCATCAAAATGCAAGAAAACTCAAGATATAAATGGCAGGAATGTATTGAAGCAACGCTCAAAAGACTAGCAATAGAAAAGAGTGAAGAGTTTGTGCTGATGAAATTTACCAAACATAACCTGAGTGAAGGTACGACTCTTTCCATGTTGACAGCAAGAGCTTCTTTTCTGGTATTTTGTGTAATCAAACACGATTTAAGAATCAAAATGATAAACCGTGACAGCTTCATCCTGTCTATGCATTGTATACGGGAAGAAATGACGAAACCGTTCAAAGCATTCATTTCCACCAATGAATGCTCTTTGAAGTTTACCACAAGCTACACTAACAGAAAAAAAAAATTAAAGATCAAACCTGACGCAAATGTGTGCCAGAAACTCAAAAACTGAGATCTATTCCGAACATGCATCTCATTAAGTCTCACCTCCCGCGAGGAAGCTCCCCTTCCTCTCGCCGCCATCGCACGGTGGGAGCAGGATCGCCGTGGACCTCACACAGGAAGTCCACGGTCTCTTCCTCCATGACCACCTGGTTTACCGGGCGCCGTACCAACACCGGACGTTCTGCAGGTGCAGAGGAGGCATTATGCACGTCCACACAATAACGATTGATGAGCAGAATAAGTTGGAATGCTGTAAAAGTGCAAAACTCCTCACAGATTTCTGGGTTCAGCTTTGGAAACATGAAAACGCGTTTTCAAATGATTTCATCTTTCAGATTAACCTGGCCCTATGTGAAAATATAATTCCATCATTTTCAGCCATGACAATTCACCAAATTGTTTTCTGTTAGATTATCTACAATCCACTACAAGATCAATAAGTGCTTAACTCAAACCTGTCTGACAATATAAAGTACACTACAGCACCACATTGAGTTATAGACATCAGTCTGGAAGGAATTCACTCATTTCTTAGTCTTCGGGTCTCAAGTAAACATTGAGCGTCATTGTCCATTAATGTGGTGAACCTTTCCCCAAAGAGGAAAGGTGGAACTGGAACCACCCCAGTTAGCTACCATCATTAGCTGGCTAGCTACCTCTATAAGCTAGGTAAATTAGCAGGCTAGCTAGCTATGTGAAATTATGGCTAAGTCATCTCTTAGGCTCAGTCTCTAGTAAATAGTGAGAGTCATTGTCCACAACTGTGATGAACACAGATAGATAGATAGATAGATAGATAGATAGATAGATAGATAGATAGATAGATAGATAGATAGATAGATAGATAGATAGATAGATAGATAGATAGATAGATAGATAGATAGATAGATAGATAGATAGATAGATAGATAGATAGATAGATAGATAGATAGATAGATAGATAGATAGATAGATAGATAGATAGATAGATAGATAGATAGATAGATAGATAGATATAGATAGATAGATAGATAGATAGATAGATAGATAGATAGATAGATAGATAGATAGATAGATAGATAGATAGATAGATAGATAGAGATAGATAGATAGATAGATAGATAGATAGATAGATAGATATAGATAGATAGATAGATAGATAGATAGATAGATAGATAGATAGATAGATAGATAGATAGATAGATAGATAGATAGATAGATAGATAGATAGATAGATAGATAGATAGATAGATAGATAGATAGATAGATAGATAGATAGATAGATAGATAGATAGATAGATAGATATAGATAGATAGATAGATAGATAGATAGATAGATAGATAGATAGATAGATAGATAGATAGATAGATAGATAGATAGATAGATAGATAGATAGATAGATAGATAGATAGATAGATAGATAGATAGATAGATAGATAGATAGATAGATAGATAGATAGATAGATAGATAGATAGATAGATAGATAGATAGATAGATAGATAGATAGATAGATAGATAGATAGATAGATAGATAGATAGATAGATAGATAGATAGATAGATAGATAGATAGATAGATAGAGATAGATAGATAGATAGATAGATAGATAGATAGATAGATAGATAGATAGATAGATAGATAGATAGATAGATAGATAGATAGATAGATAGATAGATAGATAGATAGATAGATAGATAGATAGATAGATAGATAGATAGATAGATAGATAGATAGATAGATAGATAGATAGATAGATAGATAGATAGATAGATAGATAGATAGATAGATAGATAGATAGATAGATAGATAGATAGATAGATAGATAGATAGATAGATAGATAGATAGATAGATAGATAGATAGATAGATAGATAGATAGATAGATAGATAGATAGATAGATAGATAGATAGATAGATAGATAGATAGATAGATAGATAGATAGATAGATAGATAGATAGATAGATAGATAGATAGATAGATAGATAGATAGATAGATAGATAGATAGATAGATAGATAGATAGATAGATAGATAGATAGATAGATAGGCCCAATTAAAAAAACATCACTGCTTTAAAATATTTCTCCAAAGAGTAAGTCACAGTTTCTCCACAGTGACTTTAAAGACTCATTCCCACTTACTGACAACCCTGAATAAAAGTCATAATAATAGCAAACAGTGGTTTTGTTTTGAACTTCATTTTCACATAGGGACAGAGTTTTGCCCTTTATAGATCACAATTTATTTAGTCTGGTCATTTTTGTTAACATTTGTTTCATGATTCGAAACATTATGTTTTAAACAGAAGAAATGTGTGCAGTTTTTACCGTAAACGACCAGCTCAGCAGGATCGCTGTCCCTCTCTCCCACCATGTTGGTTCCCACACACACATACATGCCGGCATCGCTCTTCCTGGTGGGGGAGATCATCAGCGTGCCCCCTCGCATCTACAGGAGAACATCAGCATAGAATGACAGCTCAGCTCAGAGTCTCCTGACGTCTCACGTATCCTGGATCGTTTTGGCCTTTGATGGCAAAAATCCATATTAGGAAAGCTTTCCAGGAATAAATTATGAATATTTTATATCAAAGCAACAAGTGAATCGTTGTGGTTTTCCTACAAGCGACCCAGTGAGCTTTGTGTGTGCTGTGATAAAGTTTCTCCTGCCCTAAGACAGCCACTGCCTGCATTTTAAAAGTTGACTTTCAGCAAACTCGCAGCCATCTCCGGGTTTTTCACACATGATGGGAGAGGACGACAGGGACACCAGGGATCCAGACATTTTCCAGTCCACAGGACAACAACATGTCTGCCCTGAATTATAGTCTTTCGAAACTATTGTCAGTCTAAATGAGCATCTCTCCCTTTTGACTTCGAACGCCACATCATACATGAGGTTCAAGGTGAGAAAAATATGACAAATCCTTTTTTTTTCTGTTTTGTTCAAAGTGACATTAGCTGTTGCTTTGAGCTTAGTATGCGTCAGCTAAAATACATTTCTGCTTTTTGTTCTGTGACAATAAATGCAGAAGAAATTACAGGTTGTAAAGAATTAGATTTTTATTATTATTATTATTATTATTAGTTAGGAAGTACAGAAATGTCGAGGTCTGATACTCTCAGAGGCAAACTACAAACTACAACGTTTTGAATGTCACCATTAGATAATTTATTGGGTTTTGCTGCATCACTATGTCTAATTTTATACTATTTTTTGTGCAAAAATAACAAATTGAACCTTGTCTCAGTATTAGTACTTTTTTTAAAATTCATTTAGAGAAAAAAAATATTTGAACTAAGCTACACAGTGAGTTGAGATCAAAAGTGGTTTTGATTTGATAATAATTACTGTTCATGACAAAAATGTTCACATCACTTGAACTTTTAGTGATATGACCTCAAAACTCAATCTATTTTATTGGATTTTATCACCCTAGTTGTCAAGTTGAAGTGAAAGAAATCATCTTTTACCATATGTTGCAATGGTTACCATTGGTTAACAATATTACCAAGGGTAATCAGTGCCAATTATAAATGTTGGCATTTATAATTTAGCCAACACATGAGTTCAGGCACCAAGTTAACAATGTGTTGAAAAGCACATTTTTCAATTCGAAACAGCCTGATTTAGTGTCTAAAAGTGAACAGAAGTGAATAGCATATTCTATTACTCTACAATGACAACAGGAACTGGAAATAAATTTGGAAAATGAAGCCGGTTCTTTGTTGGTCTCCTAATGACGTGTCGGAGGAGGTTCAGGAAGTTGAAATCATCAGTCCAATTTATTAAGGCCAAGTGTGCCTGTGATTGCGAGCGAGCAAACAGCCACAAGAGAGACAGCAAAACGCAGAATCATTTATCCCTAACAAGAGTTACAACACTCAACAAGTCAAATATTCGTGGATACGTTATCATCAGAAAGAGAAGAGTTTTAAGTCCGTGCTCCTGCGGTCACGCTCACCGTGATGCGGTCGTCTTTGCTGCTGACGCGGGCGTTGTTGCGTTTCCAGAAGACGGCGGGTTCGGGGTGACCCCGTGGGGGCACGCACTCCAGCACCGCGGGTTCTCCGGCGGCCACCACCACGTCGCTCGGGGCCTGCCGGAAATCATCTCTCAGGACTGAAAGAGATGAAACTCTTTCAATTAGCTCGAAACGCACAGACTGGGGGAACCACCAGGTCAAACACACAAGCAGCTTCATCAAAACATCATCGGTTTGTTTCTCCTGGAAGGAGCTGCCACACTTTCCTTTTTCAGGCTTGATCGAGCTTCCTGCTTGGGATTGAGAAAGTTCATTATTGCATATGCATGACTGCTCAAATCCTGCTCCCCCCACTTGAACATCCTTCATGTCTCCCCACTCCCACGTCCTGGTTTCCCTCTTCCTCCTGCTGTCAGGCCAGACTGAATAATGCACATCCTTCAGTCCAACATGAAGCAAACAAATAATAATGGCGCATTTATAATTTAGGCAACACGTGAGCGAGTAAAAGAGAAGAAGAGGTTTAATTCGCTCTCCTGCGGCGGCTGGAGTCAGCAGTGAGCGAGAAAGCTGATCCCCCTGAATCGGAGCCACCCTGCGGATGAGGACAGGATGAGAGCTTTGGCACGGCGACCTCTGATATCCTCTAATCTTTTCCTGTGATTGACGGATGAAAGCCTCGGCTTGAACCGTGAACCGAGCCTTCTCGAGAGAGAGAGAGAGAGACAGACAGAGACAGAGGCTCCTGTACAAATGGAAACTGGTATTCTTGAGGCACTGACAGCCTCACACTCTCAAACACACACAGGCAGGCGCAGACAGCGGGTTTGCCTCGTGCTGTCGGACCGCAGCATGGTTCTTTATCCTCTCTGTTTTTTTTTTTTGTTTTTTTTTTCAAAACAAGGAGTTTTATTTCAGCCTAATAAATCAATGCAGTTTCCTTTTACACGCTCATTAATAATTTAGTCGTCTCTCGCTGACACAGAGATAAAAGAGCTCGCGCTCTTCCACCAATGCGCAATCTGTGTCAAAACACGAAATGCTGATCCCTTTACGGCCCTTTCAGTCAGCTGATCAAAGTATTTGCTGCGGCGAGCAGAGTCACACGTTCCTCTTATTCAGCCCTGAAAACAGTCTGAAGACTTAAGTGATCGTAAGGGAGATTTTCTCCCCCTGCACAGGTGGAATCGCAGGCGAAGGCAGGAAAGTAACTTCCTGCACAAGTGAAGCGACAGGTTCTCGGCTTTAACCTTTGGGAAGAAAAACACCCTGCCCTGTCGCATTCCCATTACTCCCTGGTTTTTTAACGAAACTCTTTCAATTATGCTTTCCACGAAGCACAATGACACGAGGAGAGATATGGGAAATTAATGAACGAATATAATTAGAACGTCGCTTCCCGACACTCTAATGTGGCATCAGCAGAGAAAAGTTGGCCTTTCATGTGCCGGGAGATTTTTACAGGCTGCTTCGCACACCTCTAGATAATTTCTTATTATTGTTACTGTGTTTGAAGAACAAACTGAAACCCAAACACACGAGCTTCCTGCTTTAGTCGTATTTTTACGGAGCTACAACAGTGACAGCTTCTGCTGTTGTTGGGGGGGGGAAAAAAGATTTAGCACTGACAAATAAAAACATTGTCACTGAAATAAAGAAGAAAACCCACTTATGCGGCATTGAAAACTTCTTTTTGTGAGAAGTTTTCAATGCCGGTGCAGGCGATCAAGGGCGAAAAAACAAAAACAAACACCCTGTGCAGCACAGAGCTAGTGAAGTGAGTTTTAACTCAAGAAACATAACAAAAATGGGGGATAGTGGTAAAATGAGCCATTAAATTCAGAAATTTCTACCTTGGGCCAAGCACTATAAACTGTATAAAATATTAATAAAATTTTAGAAGGGCTCATCAATGGGCGCATCCTTCATGGATCCTCCAGTTTTCCACTCGGCCCACCTGCAGTCCCCGGCTGGCTGTGTCTCTCCTCAACCATTTGTTTTTATGACTACTATTATCATTATTAGTTTTATAAACTGACCAGTTATGGACTTTGTGACTATTGTGGTAGGTTTTACAATGGCACCGTTTTGCCTTTCAGTGCTTGATTTTACTGCGTTTTATTTTTATTTTTTTATGTCAAGTTCTTTTTTTTGTAAGTTTTTTAGGTCCGGATATTTGTCACAGGATCCATAACATTAATACCACAGAAGTGCAGTTTCTCTCATTCAACACTAAAGATTGCACCGATTCAAAGTTATCACTGAAACCTGGGCTGAACCGATAAATTGGCCAGCCAATAAATCTACCCCAGTTTCACACCAGGTCATGTCTACAGGTTAGCGGTTCACAGTAGTTACCCCACTGTTGCAAACGCGGTGAATCTCTTGAATCGGCAGATTGGTAATCGACAAACGCAACAGAAACGCTAACAGCTGCTCAAACAACTACACTAATCTCATCCTCTGGTTTGTGACAAGGCTTTGTGATGAAGTTGCCTCACCCAGTGCAAGTGCAGCAGGCCTGCCTACGCTGGAAATGCCTTCCAGGCGGCTTGGGAGCAGGTTAAGGGAATATATGACCATTCATCCCCAAAGGTCTTTTATCTGGTCGAGGACTTGCACACACGAGCTCTGTGGCAGAGGCTGGACTCAGATTTTGAGGTTTCAGACTCGACTTTCACACCGATGACTCATCACGACTTCACTTGGACTCGAACCCTTTGACTTGAAACGACTCGATATCTTACACAAAACAGAAAGCGCGTTTCGCAGGAAAAACAACGATGAAACGCCGCCAGACGCAGGATCCGGCCATTCGCCAACATTTCCACTTCCCGTTGCCACAGGGAAGCAGTGCTGTTCGGCTTCCTTTTCCTCCGCGTCCTCCGATGACAGCTCCGGAGGAGGCAGAGAGGTCCCGTCATCCGGCACTATCAAAGAGGTGTGCGTGCCGGATGCTCGGCACCGTGATATTCTGGCAATCTGGGTGAGATTTGAAATCCAAAAGGCCTCGACGCAAGTTGATTTATCTTTGTTTTGCTTTTTTTTCTTCTTTTTTTTTTCTTTTAATGCAAGCCTGGAGACTGTGACGCAAATGCTGCCTGGGGCTGTGTTGACGTTACGGACAGGTTCTGTCCAGAGCTGCCAGAAACGCGTGGCCACTTGGTTGAGTGATGGACTCAGAGGAAAATGGTTTCAGACAGAGAGCAACTGTGTCGCTCTCCTTAAAATCCAAACTGAAGTGTTTTTTCCTAAGAAAAATAATGACAATAACACAAAATGGAGAGAAAAAAATGATACTTTAATATCCCTGCTTGTGTCATGTGTGAGCGACCCAACACATGACACTGATTCGGTTAGCTATTTATTCATTTTCTGCCAGTTTTCTACTGAATTCTCATTATGCCCAAATTTAGGGGAAAAAATATAGACATGAATTTTCTTGCACAGACTAAAAAAGAAATAAATTTGACTTGACTTTGAACTCAGCTGGGGATTTTCATGCATTCAGTTGAAACTTGTGTGCAAAGTCTCTTTTTCAGTCGTTTCTACTTTATTATACCATCAATAGTGAAAAAATAAGAATTAAAATTAAAAATCGAAGCGATAGAATAAACCCTGTGACTTCAGGTTCATGGCATTTGCGGAAAATGACAAGTTGGAAAAACCTGGGTCACATATCAACAAACGTTTTGTACGGTTAAATATTTAAAAAATGAATTTTGACTGTGTGAAAACTCGATCCTGAACACCAGCCAGGACGCCAGGAACGCCAGGATTCTTTTTATGCCACTGAAAATCTGAAACGTTTTAAAACCAGATAAAAAAAATTTAAAAATGAGAACGCTCTCAATGCCACATGCTTTGACTGGATGAATTCAACTGGGAAATTTCTCAAAAATACCTCAGCGGTTAGAGCTCTACTTTAATGACTTGATTTCAGTGCAAATGCCAAGTACACACAATATCAGTGCTGAAATTATTCTATTAAAACATCATTGCAGGAGCTGCAGTCAGAAGGGGTCGGGATCTGAGAACTTCCTCAGTAATCAGCAATAAATATTCCAAAACTGGAGGAAATTTTTCTCTGGAATGAAGATCAGTCGACGCATTTACCTTATTGACTCGCCTTTTTTCAGCCCCACCCTAATTTATCTGAACTTTATTGGCAGCATTAGGAGCTTATCCTCTTCATTCAGAGGGAAAATTGGATTTTTCCCTGCTTTTTTTAAAACTTTTTTTATTATTGTCATTATTATTATTTAAAAGCGGTCAAATTTGATACACAAAAGTGACATGCCTCATCAAAATGGAAATGTGTAACCTGTTCGACATCATTAAATTTCTCATTAGCCCGCAGTGAGGGTGAATTATTATTCATAGTCAAATAACTTGTCTGAGCTCAGGTGATTATGTGAGCGCGGTTCAATCTGAGGGGTCGTCATGCGCAAACACCTGCCACGAAGAAGTAGACCGAAAACTTATCCTCACCTCACAGGCCAGTCTGGGAATCTCCACAGAAGGAAAATAGAGAGAGGCCAAAACCAGCAGAGGCTTTCACTGGATTTTTATTCATTCTCTGCTGGTTTGCTCCATGTTCTGTTGCTCAGCATGTTTTATCAGCTTTAGCTTCCGTGTTGCTCTGCTCTCTTCCAATATTTTCTGTTTGTGTTCATCAGCTTCCACTGGTTGTTCTCACCGGTAATAAGACATCAACGTTGTTCTGGTTAGCATCATGCTAATGCTGCTCTTGACAAATGCACTTAGGACTTTTTTTTTAACCGTTAACAGTGACGCTGCTCTTGTTGCCTTTTTTTGATTTTACACTGCTGTTGTCAACGTCAAGATTTGCCTGATATCACTGAATGTTTGTTGGGTCAAAAGGCCATTCTGACGGAGTGTTGTACAAAGAGGAGCTAAACGACGCTGCTTATGTTGGTTGTTTGGTGTTGTGGTGTCAACACAACCTGCTTGAGTCCCTCTGATTTCTGGGTTAATTTGTCATTATCTGATTCTAAAAAGTTGAGATTCGGTATATTTTCGCTTGCTGCTTTGACAGCGTTCAGCTTACAGGTAATCATGTTTTAGTATTTCTCAGCTGTGCATTTCTAAGTTTGGACTTTGACTGGGCCACTCT